GAGCGGCTTATGATCTGTGAGAATCACGAAGTGTCGAGTTTCCAAAATATGTCGGAAGTGCCGAACAGCTAAGTAGATTGCGAGAAGTTCACAGCCAAAAGCGATATATCGAGTTTGTGCAGGTTGTAAGCGATGCGAAAAGAATGATAAAGGCTGTATTTCACTGTTGACCTCCTGTTGTGAAACTGCGCCAACTGCGGTTTGTGAGGCATCAGTAACCAGGAAAAGAGGTGTAGACGGATCAGGATTTATATGTGCCAAATTAGTTGTCTTATCCAACACTTCCTTAACCGTTTCGAATGACGTGATGGTCTCCGCTGTGAGGGTGAAGTTGCGAGTTTTTAGTCTGAGTAGATCAGTGAGAGGTTGGACGACCTCTGCACAGTTGGGGATAAAGCGGCGGTAACAATTGATAAGACCAACGAAACGTCCCAACTTTTTAATGCTGTCGGGGGCTGGATAGTCGCAAATGGCGGAAACTTTAGATGACGGAGTACGGATGCCGTTCCAGTCAAGATGTCCTAGAATTTCTAGTGACGAAACACCGAATTGGCATTTAGTGCTATCGATGACTATACCATACTGCTGAAATCTTTCAAAAACTTGCTTTAAGTGAAGCACATGCTCGTCTTCGGACCGACTGGCGATAAGTACATCATCAATATAAGCGTAGATCAAGTCCAATCCATGTAAAACTTGATCCATGAGTCGTTGAAATGTTTGAGCTGCCTTTCTGAGCCCAAATGGCATACGAACGAATTCATATAGACCGAATGGGATAGTGATCCCAGTTTTGGGAATATCGTCTGGAGCGACAGGTATCTGGTGGTACGCTCTGACAAGGTCTAATTTACTGAAGACAGATTCGCCGTGAAGAGTAAGGGCGAAATCATGTAGATGCGGGATTGGATATTTGGCCGGGACAGTAACACGATTAAGTGGGCGATAATCGCCACATGGTCTCCAATCTCACTCGGACTTTTTGGGGACCGTATGCAGTGGAGATGACCAAGGGCTGCACGATGGTCGTATGATACCCAGTTGAAGCAAATGGTGAAATTCGGTTTTGGCTACGGCAAGCTTTTCCGGAGCTAACCGTCGTGGGCGAGATGCGATGTCTGGGCCTTTTGTCGAGATATGGTGGAAAACATCATGTTTTGCGGAAGTGATCTTGGAAGCAGGTTGCAGGATCTCTGGAAATCGACGAAGCAGTGCTGTGTAACGATCATCCGGCAAAGCTAGATGGATTCCAATAGAATTATTGGATGAAGCTTTCCCATTTGTGGAGAGAGTCGCCGAATTGTCAAGTAACTGCCGTCTGTGGAGGTCTACCGTGAGACCAAATGACGTGAGGGAGTCCAGACCAATAATGTTTTTTTAACGTCGGCCACTGTGAAAACCCACGGGATTTGACGGCGAAGACCCAGATCGAGAGTAAGAAGCTTTTCACCATAGTTCTTAGTGTTCGTACCGCTGGGTGCCTGCAGCGCATATGCCACCGGCTGTAGGTTATACTTACGTGTAGGAGGGATCACTCTAACCTCAGCACTGGTATCGATGAGGAAACTCAAAGATATGGAGCGGTCATACACGAAGAGCAGGCGACAAGTAGAGGAGCCGGTCGCAGTGGTCGCCATTACTGGCCGGCCATGGAGTTTCCCGATTTCGCTGCTTGACTGACGAATGTACAAGGTCTGGTGCACCGAACAGCTCACCGAAACGACGATGGCAGTAGCACCAGCCAGGTTAGTCGCTGTGCTTAGGAGCATGGCTGTAGGATCGAGACCGGGATCGTCTATATCGTTGCGGGCGACCAATGAGTTTGGTGACTTCATTCAGTTGGAGGGATAACTCGGAAAATTGAGATTTCATAGCATTGAACTCGAGCTCCAGGTTAGACTGTGAAGTGGATGGTTGCTGAACGTTTGAGACGAATTGCCTGCATGTTTCATGGGCACGGTCGGTCACCTCGGCTAGCTTCGCTAGGGAAGAATCCCGTTCAGTGACAGAAAGGACTTTACGGACTTCAACAGGCAGGTTTTGTTGCCAAAGCTCTTTCAAAACCGCATCGTTGACCGGATGTTTACCTTGCAGGTGCGTCATGTGGCGAAGATGTTGTGACGGTGTTTTACCGCCGACGTCAACACCGGAGAGAAGCTTCGGTAGATTCTGTTCATGATTGGAAGCAATGCGAGAAATGATAGCTATTTTGAGGGCATCATACGGATCGGTGGACGGTCGGATGTATGTTAATTCAGTGACTTCTCGGGTAACGAAGTCTGGTAAGCATCCTACCACATGGTTGTATCTGCTGCTCTGGGAGGTAATGCGACGCGATTCAAAAATGGCCTCAAGTTGAGCGAACCATAGCCTCGAATCACGTGCACTGCACCGAATCAACTTAACATAAACAACGTTGTCTATTTCAGGTGCCTGTGTTTGTTCAGAAGCCATGTTAACGTGGAAAATAAATACAGTAAAGCACGGGAGTACTCCAGAGAAAAAGTTAAGAATTGGTTTCACTGGAGTGGCAAACCTACGACTCAAAAGGTTGATTAGGAGAGTAAGCCGAGAGGTTGGTGTCGTCGACGACACCCTGTTGGGTGTTGAAGACTTTTCAGCGTTTATCTAACCATCTCGTCAACGTAATTAATTAATAACAAAAAGGGTGCACAACCATGATGTGCGCCCCATTTTTAACAGATGTCTGTGGGCAAGCCGCTCATTATTGACTGCAGTATGTACGCTATGGAAGCGCCAGGGGACAGTGATTCTACGAAGGCAGGTGTTCACGACAATTTTTGTGGGTGGAAGACAGAAAAAGCTCATGAGCCGAAGCCCAGTAAGCAGGGTTGCGGGCTGCGGACTGATTGGTCACAATATCAACCAATCTGGATCGAGCATATATACCTTGACGATCCCCGCCTCCCAGGAACATTCTGGCGCGACCTTGCGGAATATTCTGCAATGACCTTATAAATGGGATTGTAATAGTCTTCCTTTTTCTCCATAGGGCCCGTCACTAGGTACCGCGCCTTTCGAAATTCCATGGTGGGTGGTTCGGGAAAACAAGGGCCGACGCATAGTAGCCCACACCCTCAGCTAGTCATCACAGAAGCCACTGGAGATCTCTCCATTTACCCCAACACGTCCGGATGTCTGAAATTACAAACAATCTATTATTTTCGCAAACTTCTGGGGTATTCCTGGATAGAGAGTTATGCCAATTGGGGTGATTGTGCCTTGAAAATTCAGAGGAGTATTTAGACTGTGGATCCTTGAGAACTCGGCATTTTCTACCACCTGACAGCGTGAAGAATAATGATTTTGTCATTGCAGGTCTTACCAGGGGTTTCACTGGAAGTTCTCAAATCTGTGTTTCACGAACAAATGTAGTGCCACGGAGTGATGACTGAATTCCGTTACGATAATGGAAAAGCTGATACCCTTGCGGTTGAGCTCCGTTTTTTAAGGAGGCACTATCGCAGTTTTTTCTGGTTATCTGGAAAAGCCTTCCCTTCACAAATGCACATAAACAGGTCAGACAAGTGCAAACCTTGAACTTCACCAACACATTTGAACAATGTCAGTAGAGGACATCCAGACCAGCTCAGTGGCGCCTGAAAACACATAACAATTTACGAGCCCCCGAGGCCCTAAGGGCTTTTGCGTTCACAGCTCAAAGGTGAAAACGAGTGGCAGAAAGTGACAACGACAATTGTCGTTTGAAATATTTTGTCCAGTGATCGAGGCGTTCCGCTTCATTCAAGACGGTCGCCTCATAATGGTTCCGCTTACAGGTGGTTTCCGGGGACCGGTCACACATATTAAACGAAATAAGATTCCGATATTTTCTGCTTCATTATCATCATAATTATCGTCGTCAAAAACGGCGGCATCACTGCTGACAAAATACTTAATTGCCGTACGGTCATCAAATTCATCTAAATATGTTTTGTACCCTAGTGAACGAGATACATGATACTGTCCTATCGCAGGCATTCCGGAGCCCAAAAAGATAATAACTGATGACACTGTGCTCCAGTCCGCACGTTGTTAGAGTAAAATATTATCGTTCGTACGTCTATCAATGGTAACCGCCTATTTGAGTCTTGGGTACACTGACGCTGCGCATTGTGCACTCAGATCTCCAGCAACCACAAGGACATATGCGTTTACAGCTTCGATACAAATTAATTCAAGTTTCCATGACATTAGTCGCTGATGGCGTTAAATCTGTATTAGGTTACGGCGTGAGCAGACACGCCAAACAGACCTTCACAAGCTTCCCGCTTTTGCAGTTTATTCACTGACGGCGCCAGACAAACCGCATGAAAGCTTCTATTAACAGGTGAGCAGCCAGGCAAGGATCTCTTCACCTAGTGATGTAGGACAATACCAACTCTTGCACATTCCGCCGCAGTAGCCACCGGATCACCAGATACATATGGGTAGAATAATGTGCGGTCTGCTAAACTACTGTGCTTGCATTTTAAATTCTTTTTTCCGACACACAACACACATCAGTGTTAGCCAAGTCCACTGTGAGAGCAAGAGCAACTTGTGGGCCCGTTTGCTTTGAAGTGACAATATAGACAGACTGAACGTCGAGGCACGAAGAATGATTTTGAGATCCTTGAAGATATCGGCACCTGCTGCGTTGGATGCTTGTAAAGCTGATGGAGGACAAAAGGGGTCAGTATTCTCGTGTAAGGGGACTATTGTGAGTCGACAACGAGGTGCGGATAAGAGGGACAAAATGTACGTGAAAGGGAAAAATGAAAGTGTCGGATAAATATATTTTCGTTCACCTGCGCTGATGTTTTCTGCGATATGGACACCAAGTTCATGTCCCCACGCGACGGCCAATAGTGCATTGGATTATTTGTCCATCTGAAATCCGTGGTTGTACTTGGGTTGCAGTAATGCCAACAAACACAGATAAGAGGACTATTACAACAGTCAACTAGTCTTGCACTCAAAATCCTGATCGCTCACTTGAAGTAATCCTGAATTAATTCAGGCAAAACTTTGGGGAGGGGGTTAAAGTCGCGACAATCTGGGGAGTTAGTCTAATCCTCCTGTAAGTTTCCGCAAAATGTTGCTTATGGTACTTTTATTACGTGAGCAAAATTTTAAGTCAGTTGACGATATCAAGAATGATTACCTGGATGTATTGGGCGATGAAACTGTAGTAGCTGCTTCGGTGTGTCAGAGAGTTTGCGCGTGTGCGTGTCCGTTCGTCGTTCCACCATCGATCTGGCATGTGACTTGAGTGGCTGATTGGATGTGTGTCCGATTGGTTGGCTCGCGTGAGCGCTGTGGGTTGACTGAATACGTGACTCAGTTGTTTGCTCACCTGCCACGAAAGCGGACCAGTTTGGCCGCGTGTACTCAATACACCCATGTCCATACTTACGTGTTCTTCCAACTTACTGTGAACTACAATACTGGCGAGGGTCTGACGAACCCATCTTACCAAATGTGTATCGGAAAGCTAGAAGAATTTACTGCTACTGGAGGTTCCTGGAACCAATATGTGGGACGGGTGAATTGTTACTTTCTTGCAAACGAGATCGCCGACGACAAGCGGAAAGTGAACATACTTCTTACGCTTTGTGGCTCGCGACATACAGTTTGATGCGCAGCTTGGTCTCTCCGAATTTACTAAGTACAAGAGCTTTTGACGATCTTGTGTCTATCGTTTCCAAGCATTACAATCCTAAACCTTCTGTTATCGCACAGCGATTCAAGTTCAATACAAGGGAAGCAAAAACGAAAGGAAGACCACGTAGTACTTTTGTGCTGCTTACGAAGGCCAACGGGCATGCGCAAAAACTCAAATAACCCAAAAGGCGTGGTGATAGCGGTTTTATGAACATCTTCGGAAAGTGTGGGGATATGATGATAAGCACGAAGAATGTCAATGTGGGAAAAAACGGTGCATCCGTGCAGTGTGGAGGAAAAATCATGAAGATGTGGGATGGGGTAATGGTCAGGTATCGTGACATTATTGAGTGCTCGATAGTCTCCACAAGGGCGCCAGTCGGAAGATGACTGCTTGGGAACCATTTGGAGGGGTGAAGTCCACATACTCTGAGAAGGTCGGATAATACTTAGCTGAAGCATGTGTTGAAATTCGTCTTTGGTTAACTGTAATTTCTCTGGAGCCAAACGACGTGGACGTGTAAAAACCGGAGGACCATGCGTACAAATGTGATGAACAACGGAGTGTTCTGGTTTGGGGTCATGGAAATTTGGTTTAGTCAAATCTGGAAATTGATGTAGCAGTGCGTGATTAGGTGAATCGTCGCTTTTAAAACTTGTGTTTGGATAGATGGAGGGTAGGACGATAGAATGTCCTTTCGTAGACGGTTGAGTATTTGCGTCAATAAGATGTTGTCTCAGGTCTACCAAAAGGTTGAAGTGAGTGAGGAAATCCGCTCCGATAATGGGATGCTGGACGTCAGCAATTACAAAGATCCACGGGAAATCGCGGCGTAACCCCAGATTTAGTCGTAGAGTGCGCTGTTCGTAAGTTTTGATGGGAGAACCATTCGCGGCGGTAAGTGTAAAAGAGGGGATGGGTCTGCCGGAAACAGCTCTTACAGGAATAATGCTGATGTCAGCCCCAGTGTCTACCAAAAAATGAGACCGGAGGGTTTGTCGACGATTGTGAGGCAGCAAGTTATATGTGTTGGGCTTAGAACCTTACTCGCCTCTATAGTTCGGCCCGTGGGTGTCCCGATGTTGCGTGAGGAGTCGGGTGACTTGACTGGAAAGAGCATGGTTGTGCACACTTCCGTGTTCTGTGTCCGAATGTACTGTGGTACCAACAATATACTTGTCCTCGGGAGGATGAATGTGAACGGGAGTTGGAACGTGAACGAAAGGACGCACGAGGGTACGGTTGGGATCGGTTTATACGGATAGTCGCGATCTGACTAGCTAACTGATCGAGCCGATCGTGAAGGGCAGACATAGAATATGATGCGTCAACGGAGGAAACGTTAATGGAACATGGTTGAATTTCGAGTACCTTATCTGCTGTGCTGGCAAGTCCAGCGAGTGGAAGATCTGAACTGGATGCGAGAATCGATTGTACGTGGGCTGGTAAGCGTTTCAGGAAAAGCTGTTTAAACAAGGCTTCATCAGTTTTACGGTCCCCCATGATGTTGTAAAGTCGTCGCAACAGTTGAGACGGGGTAGAGTCATCGAGAGATTCTCCGCTCAGTAGTTGTTCCAGTCGTTCATGTTCGGATAAACTACAGCGTTTGATGATGGCGGTACGTAATTGAGTATACGGCTTGGTGACGTCATGGTCCATTAAAATGTTGCGTAAGCCGGCTGCGATTTCAGGAGGGAGTACTGAAAGCACATGGTAATACATAGAATGCTCTTGGGTGATTCCACGAGGGGCAAACTGAGCTTGAACTTGTGTGAACCAGATGCATACGTCGTGGTGCCAGAATGGTGGAAGATGAAAAGAGGCGGCGTTGATGTTGGGCGTCGGTGCAGTTGAAGGTGAAGGAATGACATGTACAAGAGGATCTGACATGGTATCGTCACGTCGGGCTCACCAATTATTAGTGTTCTCTATTGTTAACAACAAAAGCCACTTGAAAATCAGAAGGCTAGAAAGCGACACGAACAAAATTTGTTTTAAAAGCGTGAGGTTGCAACACATTAACTGAGTCGAATACAATACCAAAAGTGGGAATGTACAAATGAAGGACTTATCGTTCTGAGCGGAAGTTGCAATAGTTCCACCGAGTTGGTTTGGGGGCTGGTAATCGTGTTTCACTGCTCCACGTTCCTAGCTGTCCGCGGTTGTTGTTGAGTCGAGCCGGTCTGCGTTCCGACGCGCGAGTGATGCGTGAGGGTGCGTGCGTTTGATTGTGTTCTGTCCTTATACAGGAAAGTTTGGCGTGTGTAAAAAACATGAATCGTTCCGATGCGTACTAGACAGGAACTGACTTGTATGGCAGGTCAGCCGCAGGATCTAATAAACACGCATGTACTGGACAAAATAGGTGAAGCCGGTTGGGGGGACATGGAAATGTCCGCTACAGAACCAGTCGGACCTCAGGCCCACTGTTCCCAACACGTTAGGAAAGAAACCTATAACCACTAACTCATCGAATATTATCCACTGTTTATGATATTGTCCTCCTTCTGTGACATCCGCACCCCCCAAACCAACCAGTCATGCTTCATTCTGACTGTAAAAATATGATCCTGCAAGACGGTGTGCTACCCTCAAGTTGGGAATTAACATTATTATTATTATTAACACTGTATCGAAAATCTGCCAGTCTAGATCGGGACAACCTAGAAATATTTCAACGCTTCCTCGAGTTGGCATGGAAGCAATGCTCATGAACGGTGTTACGGCTGGATTTTGTTGATCAATATTTAATTCACTTCCGAACGTAATCCGATTTCCGGTAATAACTTAGGCGGAGTGGATAAAAAATATGGTATTTTTCTGAGGCTCCATTAGGCATTGTTGGAAGGTGTCGCGCGCCGTACCCACCCTAATTATCAAACCGACTTCGGGACCAAAAAGCGCTATTACTTCGCAGATCGCGAATTTTGAATTGAAAATTAAACGCTTGGAAAATAGTAGCGTCTTATAATCTGCTCGTTACATATAGGCTGCCTCATCATCGTTGTCGAAAGGCCGAATGCTCTCATACAGATCTGTGTTGATTGTTCCATGAGCCTCGATGTCACCTTGAACGATCAATAGTATCCGCTTCCAAAACCTTACGGTACATTCGTCAAGATGAACAGTGGCGCGAACTTTGAGGAGCTCGGTCTTTAAGATGCCCACCAGTAAATCAAAGTCGATGTGTAATCCGGACATCCGAGGATTAACGTGGACCATGGCCTTTTCCGGAACATGCGATTGCCGTTCAGATTGGATACTAAGCCAGAAACCTTTCAGCGGATTATGGATACAATTTTATGTAATGTGGGGAACATTGCTGCATACCTGAACAACATTGTCGTTGTGGGAACGGATAAACTGGAACTTATTTTCCGAGGGAATGCCATCCTCCAACGAGTACATAATTGTGGGTTATGGCCGAAGGAAAAGTGTGAGCTCTTGCTGAATTTCGTGAAGTACTTTTGGCTCGTCATCAAAAAATGACTTCTTCGCTCTATGGAGAACCAGCGCATTTGTTTTGATGCAATAACCACCATGGCAGATACTAAGAGCCCTAACATTACAACTGAACAGTTGGTCTAGGCAAACAACCAATGGATAGCCTTGAAAAACTCTATACAGCAAGTAACCGGAACCCGCCGGGCTGTGTGCAAAGGTATAGGAAGGACATCGAAGGGAACGGTTCCCACACAAAAAACAGCGACGGCCCATATAAGCATATTCCTTAACTTCTGCACGTCCCAGAGAATAGCGAACTGAGAATGCAAAGATTTCATCTCGGTGGTAGGGCGTGATGTGAAATGTGAAAGCCGCTCTAAAGCTCATGATTTCGTTTCGCGTACTTGCATTCAGAAAACCTTATAATAATGATAATGTTTGTTCCTAACTTGTGGATGGCATACCGACTGGCATGATCGTACGTTTACAGTCAGAATGAAGCCTGACTGGGGGATATGTGGGTTGTGGGGATTGCAAGAAAAGAGGACAATGTCATAAACGGTGGGAGGTGTTCGACGAAATAGTAATAAAAGGTTTATTTTCAAGCTGGTTGGGAACAATGAGCATGAGGTCAAGGACTTAGCCTGCTGACACGAACCAAAACTGGAAAACCATTGCTGGCCACCAGTGACCTTGAACAGTTGGGCAAATGAACGGAGTCACAACGAGCAAAAGTGGAAATGGAGATTGGATAATTCGACTTTGGGAAACATGGTAAGTTTTGTCGCAAAAATATGGTGTTATCTGGAAATAAGCAGACTCACTGTTCACACGGTTGCGGGAAGTCAGGTGCAAGGGGTAGGTTGGATGGGAACATGTTGCTATAGCACAGAGCTAACTGGGCACCGCATACGGATTTGAACTTGTGGAAGGAGCAAGCCGAAATTGCAGCAAAAACCAGGCTGGTCTGATTTCAGCGAAAGTTCATCAAGTACTAAAAAACTTGTCCCAGAGATGGGTTTTTGTCTTGCAGTATTTGCAGTTACTGGAACGAGCGGGCGAGAGGGCACAGTCCAGAGAGGGGATGGAATATTTATGGGTGTGCTCTCAATGGGGTATGGCAGTGCCGTGCTATCGCTGGTCTCAAATACTTCGGTTTTTGGACATCCCCGTGACGAACGTCACGTTTTAGGTTATCGTGCTGGGGTGTGTACTTCCTTGAGGAGTGGGATTTAATCCAGGCTGGTCGAGGAAACAAGGTGGATCGTAGTCGATATGGGGTTGCAGGTTTTCTTGATTCGTTTGGGGATCCAGTGGGTGTAGGTCATGGGCCATTTGGAGTAGCTAACAGCCAACCAGGTCATCCAAACCGGGCTGGGATCATCCAAACCTGGGATATTATGCAAAAATATACGTAAAAGAGACGTCTCCTGCGATTAAGGTGTTGTCAAGTAAATATGTGGAATAAGATGTAGAGGAGTTTGTACTTATATAGACTAGTGACCATGGGTTGAGATTGCCACCATACGATATTAGATTACAAAGGATATATTAGAAGCCGATATAGGCGCGCAGAGCCGCGGTGTGGAAGTCAGCTGTATAAGGATTGACGGGAGTGAACTTCCAAGTCACGTGAAGAAAACTGACTCTCCCAACAGACGTGATGAAATGATGGGCGGATGGCAGAAATACCTAAAACAACCGTAAAATATTCGTCAACCAAGATTCGAAAAAGTCCGTATAAGGATGGGAGTGAACTTCCAAGTCACGTGAAGAAAACTGACTCTCCCAACAGACGTGATGAAATGATGGGCGGATGGCAGAAATACCTAAAACAACCGTAAAATATTCGTCAACCAAGATTCGAAAAAGTCCAATCCCGTATGATGTCAATTGTGAACAGCTTACTATAGCTTAGGTTGCCACGATCATCGGACAACCTAAAAGAGAAAATCTGCCGGAATCCCTAATCAGTTACCTAAGACCGGAATCTCAACGCTTCTACAACCACCCCACAACCTTTTTTGTTCACTCAAGAAAACGGGATCCGTCCCGAGGGGCTGAAGTACCTCAGTATTTCTACCAGTCTCACAAAAAAGGCGGTAGGACAGTGTGCACCAAATATCGTCGAGCCATTCGCTGTTTTTGCCACAAAAATTTTTGCTTTCTTTCTGCCACAATAAAGACCAAATATCCTCTTTGCGGTGAACATGAGAACGCCGTTTCAAGTCTATGTATGAGCAATCCGGCAGTATCCCAGCCCATGTGCAACCATGAATCGCACACACGAATAAGCTCCTGCCAAATTGGACGTCATGTGGTGCCAGCAGCCGGAGCGCCTTACTTGATGCATACATTAAGGATGCTTGAGCTAACCACCCACTACTTCCCATTTGTTTCCGAATGCGCACCTCTGATGACCCAGAGGCTTCTGATACAGAATTGGCGGGGGTTTGTATCGTCCTAAATCACTGAGCGAAAGGATGCCTGCTTGACTGGGCACGCGTTAACAGTCGCTTCTCTGTTGTTCGACTGGCAACGTTTGTGAAGGGATCTCACGAGGGAAAAGTTAACCAAAGTCTTTTTGTCGTGTCTGCTTACAGTTCAACCGAATGTGGCTCTGACATTATCCTGGATAAGTTTTATGACGCCCTGTTGCGGCGAGCTGAAAGCTCAGGTATCGTTGTGCTTGTCAGAGACCTGAATGCACGTTCGGACAGGTTAAGTGCATCTGGGCTAAATGGATTAGACTCAATACCCACGGGCAATGTTAAACCACTGATTTATCTGTGTATTGACCGTGGACTGTTTCCATGCATTACTAACTTCCGAAATGGCCTAAGCCATTTATCCACAGTAAGCCTTCTAATAGCGTGCCGGCTATAAATTCAATTTCATTACACTGCTATCAGGTGCCGGTGATGCGGATCCATAACTGAACGCCGGTCTTTTAGGACACAGTTGATGATTCCGACCACGAATTCGTCGGGGTGGCTTCTTCCTTCGTTTTTTATGGCCGCATAAGGGGCGCAAAACCCGCTTGACAGCTGAGAGGCTGGATGTTAGACGGATTTACAACGGTCATTGTCTGGAATTTCTTCCATCTGCTTCACCATCAGGTCGCCACCGCTCTGCACAGGGCTGAGAGTTTTGCCTGTGGGAGGGCGCTACCAAACTCGCTGAAGCACGAGATGTCAGAGATGACTGGCACTTCCTGAATATCGTAAAATTGTCCCCACTGGTCTCGAACATAACCTGACACGACGAATAGGCAGATGCCAGGTGAAAGTGGGCGTGCGAACATGAAATTTAATGGATGCGGAAGGCCAAGGAATAGGAAGAGCCCTAGAAGGCTGTGCCTCAATGCGAGTGGTTCCCAGAAGCCACCCGTGAGGTTGCGCCTTGCTGAACGTTCGTGAACTCCGTATCGGCTTTTGGATTCCTGCTCCGCCCACTACGGTGCATCGAAAGGTACGGTAGCTGTAGGCGGTCCTTTATGGAGACAAAGGAAAATGGTCACAAATGTATTCATAGGTTAATCATGAAAAGTTCCACAAGGCCGTGCAAAAATATCTGTGAGGAGCCGAGCTAAAGATGCTCGATCAAGATAGGCTGGAATTCTGACCAATCAGGGCATGCCTTCGTTTGGTCCGTAGCCTGCACGTAACATAACCCCCTGATTGACATGCAGTTCGGTAATTGGAGATGGATGGCCTCCGACACGTGAGCGGAACCACCAAATAGGCGAATAATGTGGCCGTCTGGGATAAAAAGGACGTATCGACCGTTGGGCCGAATGATCCCAACAGCATTCTTGGGGACTCCAGGTGTGACCCATCTGGACGAATAACCCTGGACGGTGAATGTGGAACTCCCTGTGTCCTCAGAGGTTTATGACTGCGCAGGTTCTCTCAAGTGCCACCGAGATTCTGGTTCGGACAACCACCCAGAATGCTTGAAATGTGGTTGTAAAACCCCGAATCAGCCCTTGCTTGATTTGTTTTCCTGCATTTGCCCAAGACAGCTGGGGAGAGTCAGTAACTGTACCCGCTTTTAAAGTTTGGCACGTAGTGAGTGCGGTAACTACGAGCGGATCATTTGACCCAGGTCGCAACGAGCTTGTTAGCGTCACTTGCGCTTCGTCGCCATATGGTGGCTCATGAAGCTCTGGCTCGATAGAAGCGAGCAGGATTCCGACCTGTTAGGAGTTGCGCTGGCCAAATCTTTACACTCTCTCATGTGTTAGAGCGACGTCAGACGTACACACGGCCCACAATTTTGGTATTCCTGGACTTTGAAGGCCTATCCGGCTCAGTTGACCAGTCTATTCTACTTGATACGCTTGCTCATCAAAAAATATCCGGCTCAACCAGTCTATTCTACTTGATACGCTTGCTCATCAAAAAATGCCTCGACAGTTTGTGAACATGTATTCCGGACTTTCGGACGGACAACTCTCAGAAAGCTTCCATCACGTGTACCCACTCTCTCCATTCCTATTGCGTTTCGTGATCGGTGATATAGTTAAACTAACGCTGTCAGGTCTTCGAAACCCTGATGTTCAAAAGCGGCGGGTGGAAACCTTTTTTATCTGGAATGTGCAGATGATGTAGGAGAGGGCGCAAGTGTATCTGGATGAACTAACAAAAGTCATCTCGTCCTTGGGTATGCACTTGGCACCCCAACAGTGTAAAGTTATGCCTCTTGGGATGTATTCACTGAAGAAGCCACACAATCCAGGGAGATGGACTCAAATTTGTGGAGCATTTTACTTGTCTTGGAAGTTGTATTAGTTCCGATTTTAGTGTGACAGACAAGGTTCATGCACGAATTTGCAAGGTTCAGGTCGCGTCAAATGGGTGTTACCGAAAAGGTGCAACGGCTGAACAGGTGAACTGGGTATGAAAGGGATTACTGTGTGTATGGGTGCTATCGATGCTGCTCGCATTCCAGGATGGGCCCTGCATGATCCCCACTGCACCCGGTTAAAGACGCTGCAATATATGGCTCCTAATCAATGTCAATACGTTCTTTTTTTGTCATTTTCTATCCCAACTGCCTGTATCATCGCTTGGAGGTGTGGGTACCTCGGAATCTTTGTAGTAAGCTATCATCAAGTCCATTCCCCGTTTACTTTTATTCTTCATTTTGAGGCTTTCATATATATCATGGTTGTACTGCGCTGAAACATCAGTGTTAATTACTGATTTTATTTTGTCGATGATAATTCAGGACCATACAGTCCACCACAGCACGAGTGATCGAATTCCGACCTGCGTTCGGTTCCATTAGTCTCGAGCCGCCGTGGTATGGACCTGAACCTCTCAAGCTAGGGTTCCCGTCAAGACAACCACCAACGGGGCACAAAGTATGTTAACACCCAAAACAAGGTCATGGAAACTTGTACAGCGTTTCGTACGTAAAGTGTATGCCGCGACAACATTTTGGAACTTCTGGCACCTTCTGTATGCGGCACTGCCAACCGACACTTGGGAGTTATTGGGTAATGATTAGCTGTTGGGTCCAGACTTCCGACCAGTCAGAGGTTGACTTGATGTCGGACGGGCAATCGGCCGAACTTTTACCCAATGTTGTGCGGGTTAGGCTTCTCGGCCGTCGCATCGCCTAGCTGCGAGCGGTAAAGCAGTATCAGTGTGGAATTCTGCCTAACACCTCGATAAGGCCTATAACCTATTTGTGAAAACTGATTCCGAGTATACGGCAATTAAACCACGAAGTTGGATATTGAGCATAATAAACGACTAGGTTACCCACTTTCGCTAGTGTTTCTTGGCTTGCCAATCAACTGGTCAGTGGAACAGGCATTGAAGGGACACTGATGTCCAATGCGCTCGATGCAGCTGAGTGGTTACAGCGTGAATTTACTGACCGGGAGGTCCGTGGTTCGAATCGTTTCTATGCATCTCGATTACTTGTGTCTTGGATTGGGCAACCTGGCAATATCTCATCCATCCCACTTCCTTCAGTATGCATGGCGGCTTGAAACCGAGCTGGTGTTCCAGCTGAAAGACCATTTTCAGTATTCTTTGACCAACGTGTGCTAAACAACCTGGCTCGAAGAACGAATTCATCTGTACCCGCGTGGTCATACCTATCTAGCCTTTCAACATAACAGGTGAAATAATCCAGCAGTTTGTCGACCTTGGACACCTTAGTTTTCCCCATTTCACCATCACCAGACCAAAGTGCCACCTTGATGTGGTAGTCAGGCTTGAGTGCTGCAATGATCCCGCAGGCCACACTGGCTGGAATTTCCTTCCACAAGGTGCAACCATGCCAAGAAGGCCAAAGGGGAGCAGCGAGACCCCGTACTACGAGTAATTGTGCTACGAGGCTGTCTGGGGATAATGACACTGTCAGACATGGCCCAGTCGCGCCTTCAATGGCGCTCATGCATCCAAGCTATTGTCTTCAATGCATGGTTCCCTTCCCGATACCCCCACTTGACAGCCCACTGACAATGGTGGATTTATGTACCAATTTATCAGCTTCCGCCTCCAATGCGCAGCTACCTACCCCCCAAATCATCGGTGAACGAAACTGCGGCAGCCACAACCACTGTACGACGAGTACGCGGTTATTACAGCTGACAATGATGATGATGATGAAAGAAGAAATTCAATGGCATTTGTGCAGTATCCGGCAAGCCTTCACATGGCTTTTCGAAACGAACTGAGATTATTTTCTACACGAAAGTCCTCATCTTCGACGCGACAACTCGTCTTATCTTGGATTATGTCTACGAATCGGCATTTGTGAGCAGAAGATACCCGAAACCTGGTTGTTTATGACTTTCAGTGTTTCGGACTTATAATGAGCTTTCACTATCTAGGGGTGACCAATGACGAGATCCGAAAGCTTTATCATGATGTGATACGCATATCTAACTCCTTCAACGACGGCGTCTGCGTTGGTCTGAATATCGATTGCGCAGGAACGATGCCGAAATACCCACACAAATCCTAACCCTTGCACCATGTCAATGATGACATTGTCGCTGCTACGGTCGAAAACCTGGCTGAATGAAACGACATTGTGCTGCTCGGTCTCCATATGGTTTACGGAGTCCGTCACTGGATCACCATTTGATAGCCGGTTGTCATGCATGGGCAACTTGTGTCCGAGACATTTGTGGGGTCGACTACTCCTTTCGCAGCAGATGGTCGTCGTGAACTAAGTGATGGACAGTTGTTTCGTTTAGTGGTTGTATAAGGGTTGCATTTAATTCCCACCCATAACACCTGTAAGCATTTTCATCCGAAACAGCACTCCAGCCCTGCCTAAGCATACAGTTGTCAGGCTCACTGGGTCCGATAAACCTTAATTATACCTGTGTAACTGATCGTTGGTCATCCTTACGCATATCTGTCCTGGCAATTCCATCTTACACCAACTCGGTTGACATCGTTACCAGTAGATGCTAACACAATCACTGCCCTTTTGGGAATGCAATCACATTAATATCCGAATTTTCCGGTTAGTGCTTTCTGTTTCTACCCCTTTGAAGAAGCGGTTATTCGAGGTGTTGTGTTATCTTGTTCGTTGTCTAATTCTGGATATTTGTTATCTTCCAGGTGATCGGATTCTGTTTTGCGTGAATGCATTGCTCCGTCACTTTCCATCAACAAAAGGCGTATCAATCCTATAGACCCGTTGTTTGCGTACAACCCAGCTCATAGCATGGTCAAAAAAACTAAACGTCAGAGTCTGAATTTTCCGGACGTTCAAGGGTGGGTACCTTATACAGCGTTCTCAAAAAACAGTGAGACATCCTTATTAATATTTATTCTCTGCAGAACAAGAGCTTTTAGGAGATTCTTCAGAACCCACTTATGCAGAAGTTCCTAAAGACTGGAAAGAACCTGAATTCAAACCTGAGGATAACCCGCATGGTCGACTGTTTGCACTCTCCTCCTTTATTACTTTGTTTCCGAAATATCGGGAGAAATATATCAAGGAAATTTGGCCTGCACTCAAAAAGGTCCTTTTAGAACACGTGAGTTTGGAGTATTGCTTCGCAGTGAAGACATGTCTTTTATCTTTGTTATTTGACACTGTACCCTTTCCAACTTGACTTAACTGTGCCTTCACACTGCGAAGTTATCTAAATCTAACTACATTGAAACTCCCCAGGCCTTGTGATGACAATCTGACAAGTACCACCCATTGTTAGGAGTAATTTTTTGACTACAGTTCGCCTTGAACTCACCTGTTCGTTTCCCCTGCTTNTTCCCCTGCTAATTATAAATCCAATGAATTACTTTTTACCAAATAGAGATTTCTGCAACCGTACTTAGCCTGCCCCTTTATGCTTAGTTCTGGTGCACTTGCTTAATAGTGGGCTATGCTGTCCCAAACCCACTGTCCACTACCTGCTCAATTCACAGGTAATTGCGATACTTTTACGATTAATCCTGATGCATCCTACCGAGTAGAGGGGTCAGGCTTTTTGACTTAATGTCTCATTAAGTGCCTCTAGGTATTTACTATGAGGCAAGATGGCTCAAGTGGTTAAAGCACGAATTTACTGACCGGAAGGTCCGTGGTTCGAACCCGGCCTCTGCCTCCCGACGCGCCCTGTCTCGGCTTGGGAAACCTGGGAGTATCCCAGCGCTCGTGCTTCGTTCAGATAGTATAGCAGTTAGACACCGAAAGGGTGTTACAGCTGAAAGACAGCGGAATTTTTGGAACGCTATGCGTATCTCGGGTACTACTAGCGTTGATTGTAGTATGACAGACAAGGACAGCGCACTAGTCTCGCATACTGAAATTGGTGCCAGTGTGGCACCAAACTGGTTTATCATCCGGGTTACGAAGGACGCATGTAACAGGCTACAGTGCAGGTTGTATTGCTGTATGACTGAGAGGATTTGCCAATTGGGATGAAGTATCTTAGATAAACTTGAGTCTTTGACCGTCGCTACCTGGGGACCACAGCTGGAGTGGGTGAATTCTGAATGGGTCGATAGCGTTACGAGCTTATACTCCCCTCACTTTTTTTGCGGTACTAACCGCTTCAGCATATTCCTCTATTTTCTGGTTCTTTAAACAGCATATCCGTGCCGAACTAGACTTGACAGAAAGTTCGATGGAAGTTCGGACAACCCCAAAGACCTTTGATCCATTCATTATCCTCAAAGCACGAGATGTAATGCGCCTGTTGGCTCGTTCGGTACCGTTTGAACAGGCTATCCGTGTCTTACAGGATGACATTTTTTCCGATGTCATCGAAATAAATTTGACTAACCGAGAGCGGTTTATCAAACGACGCAATCGTTTGATTGGCTACGAGGGTGAAACATTGAAAGCACTCGAACTGTCCACCAATTGCTACATTGTGGTTCAAGGAAAGACTGTTTCTGCGATTGGGCACTATGAAGACTTGAAGCAGGTGAGTTACATGTTCAGCATGGTACACTTCCTGATCACTTTTAAATAATAGAAACGGTCACTGTTAAACATCGGGCCTTTATTGCCATACTACAGACGAGGGTTGCTAACTGCATAACAGGCTAGCACCAGGTCGATTTTCTAAATGCTTCTACTCTTCATAATAAGGCTTTCAAACAAACTATGATTGTACAGCGATGAAGCTTCACTGTTGAACACTATTGTGTTGCCGATGTTGACTAATTTCAGAACCGTTGGTTTAAACGACCACTACTCTCCACCATCTGTTTCTTCAACACCGCTAATCTGCAGCTGCTAAGGATGAGTTTGTCGTTTTTGCTTGTCAGCCTCGGTCACAGTGGATTTAGGTAGAGCGGAACGTGGATTCGGTTTCGAAATAGCGTTCTCAGACGACTGAGTTCCCTCGTTCTTGAACCAGACCGTAATACCCTTTGACTGCTTTGATTTTCAAGCATAACCTCCGTGCTTTTAATCCCAAAACATTGAAACTGTCGTAAACAGACACACCAAAGTACATCTGAAGAGATGGGTCAGCGGTTAGAGCACGACTTTACTGATCGAAGGATCCGTGATTCGACCCCTATCTCTGCATCTTCAATTCCCCTGTCTAGCCTCGATAACCTGGCAGTATCCCAGTCCTCGTGCTTTCTTCTGGTGGCATGTAAGCTAGGCACCGAAACGATGGTACAGCTGAAATTTTTTGGTTCTAGGCAAAAAAACTAAAATAACCTCATGGAGCTGCCCCGATTTTCCACGATAGTTGGCTGTTGCTCATTCAAGAAATGATCACCTTCCAAACTGAATAACATGTATCCAACTATAAGGTAACTAGAAACCAGATTTTAGGTTAAACACCACACACACACACCAATACATCTGTACGATGTATTGTGACATCGGTGTATCGTACCAACTGAAACATGGGGTGGTCTGGTGCAGCATATTCAGTCGAAACCACCGGTACGCAAATGAGTGTATTTCGCAGATATTAAGTTCTATCTGTATGTGCATTTAATACCTATTCATTGGAGCATGACACTTCATAAATATCTCAATTCTGGGCTTTTACTGCGGCTTTATGCGACGCCTTTTGAAAAAAGTGCGCATCACAGCCGTCTAATGGTTGCGCCGGCACTGAGCCTGCCAGACTACGCGATAAGAAGACAGAGAATCCTGGACACAGGTGTATTGTCAGGACAAACACACAAAGTCTCTGCGTAGATGTATGGGATGGCTAAATGGCCAATTACGGTCATTTACTTGCTCGTTCCCTCCAGCCAATGGCGACATTCCTGCCATGAACAGCTTCACATCCACTCTACTAAGCCGTGTTTCGTAAGCTCCGTCAACACATCTGCTATCCGGAACATGTAGTACCGATGGTGACCTTGGGGACGCGTCGCCCTCTGCTCATGTGCTTTTCGTGTCTGGTCGCTTCCTGACAGACCACAAAACCTGCTCTTGAACGAAAACATCTACTTTTGTTGCGTGAGAGTGGGTGTATAAGAATGGGCTTGAAAAAAGTTGCTGTGCCTGGGCGAAATTACGAAGACCTGGAGGAGGCGTAGCCGTTTTCTTTCGTTGCGTATAAACAGCAAGTGGTCTGCTCAGGAAAGCTATCACTTTAGGAGGCATTCAACACTTAATGGAGTGATTTGATCTGAGTGATTTGAGAATGGTGGCGCTACGTTCAAGTGTGTCCAAGTGCAGGGTAATTCGATTGTTGAACGGCCACTCGAGGCCGAATTCCATAGTCTTCAACTACCAGTGAGGAACTCACATCTTTGGATCCCCAAGAGATCCGTGAGATGCGCAATGCTGATATATCCGAACGATGGTGAAACGAAGTAATCGCACTACTGATCAACCGCTCGTGACCGAACGTCAACTACCAGGTGGGAAGTTGTGAGTTTGAATTGCCCTGGAGCTTCTTGGGATGAGCACTGAAGGTGAAACAACTGTGCAGTATCTTTCGACTTTGCACAATAGAGTACTAACTTGCAGGACGAAATTTCACTTAAATTATTCTAAACTCTCATACTGCCAACAATAACGAAATGGGGCGAGATGAACCAAGTGGTTAGAGCGCGAATTTACTGACCGGAAGGTCCGTGGTTCGAACCCGACCTCTGCCACTCAACTTCCTCTGTCTAGGCTTGGGCGACCTGGCAGTATCCCAGCCCTCTTGCCTCCGTGTGGCAAGAGATTAGCATAGTTTCCTTTCCCGATACGATGAAACAACACTCGCAAATAGTACAATCATGTGACTGCTCATAAAGGGTAGTGTTGGGTGCGTGTTTTATTTATCTCCTTCCCATTATTATACCTCTTTTTTGCTGTATTTTGAGCTTCAAGTTCTTTATGAAGCTCTGGTGTTTACATTCCGTAACATTTTATGTAGAACATACATCGTCTCGGCATACTGTTCACTTCCCCGGAGTAGCTTTTGTTATTATTTAATCTGTGCGATGGTTCAGTTCAGCTGTTGCACCCTTTCGGCGCCTAACTGCCATGCCACCCAAAGGGAGCACGAGGGCTGGGATGCTGCCAGGTCTCCCAACCCTAGACAGGGCACGTCGAGAGGCAGACATCGGGTTCGAACCATGGATCTTCCGGTCAGTAAATTTGCGGTCTAACCGCTGAGCCATGTCGCGTGGGTATCCCACGGCATAATACCCTCCCATATTGTAGATATCGATTTCTCGCCGAAATTGATCATGTCGCCACTAAATTTCTCCCTCAGGTACGCAAGATTGTTCTTGGATGCATCTATGACAATATCCACCCGGCTTATTCAATAAAACGGCTGTTGATTATCAAAAAGCTCCAGGCTGATCCAACCAAGAAAGATGTGTCTTGGGATCGATTTTTACCAAAATTGAAGAAGAAGGTCCTCAGTCGCCGACGCAAGCCCCATAAGGTGAGAGTGTTGTGTCTTTGTGAAATCGCGGTGATTAGGCTCACATTTGATTTCGATTTTTTTGCTAAGTGGACGTGATTGAGCTAACGTACGACTCTTTTGATGTCTAGTCCAGTGTTAGTTTGGGCAGTCAGAAAAGCGGTTAACCTATCCGTCTTTGTTTTCCGGGACGTAGTATATCAGGATATCAAATGTTGGTTCTAAATTTTCATGTCTTTGTTGAAGGATATGGGGGCCTGTTTGAGCTATGGGTTTAGATTTTAGTGGGTCACTCATGACGTAATCTAGGCGTGCTTTACAGAGTGTTATCACATGTGTTCTTTTTCAGTTATTCTGTGAGGTATATTACATGCTACCCCACTCGGTCTGTATGCTAATGAACTGACTTAGAGTATTGTTTTTCATCTGTTTAATCCAAATTCGTCCTCCCGCTTCAGGTCAGAAAGAAGAAAGAATACACACCTTTCCCGCCACCGATTACACCTTCGAAAGTGGATATCGAACTAGAAAAGGGTACATATTTCTTAGCCGAGGCTGAACGAAAACGTTTGAAGACGGCCACAAAAATTGCCCAGTCTGAAAAGGTGGCAAAAGAACGTAAAGTGAAACGAGCCGCGGCTTTCGTTCCACCTAGCTCGCAAGAACCAAAGCCCAAGAAGAAGAGGAAAAATGCTAATGATGATGATAATGATGCTTATTCATAGAATCAATATTAACTATAATGTATGAACAATCTTGTGGACAGCTTTGTAAATAAAAGTCTTCTTCCATTATGAACTTCTTATTTGGATCGCTTGATCTCCAGTGGTCTGGGGTCAAGCAAATTGTGTTCCAGTCCGGAATACTGGCGTACGGTGATTCTGGGCGCTCTTGTTGTAGTTGACACTGAGTCAAGATTTGCTATGCTCCTGAAGCCACGTAGTTACGCGATTCTGAATCCTCTCCATCATTTCAATATTTTCATATCTTCATGCTTCTGTTACTTTATTCGATTCATTGCTAGAGATGCAAGTGGGCGGTAATCTACACATGCTCCTCAGGTGATCTCCGTGCGGGAAAATCCGCGGAGCCAGCCCTGCTCAGATAGGAGGAGGTAGTAGAAAGGGCGAAATTGGGAATATCTTGAGCCTGTTCGGTTTTTTTGCGTTGACTTTTCGGTGTAGGTTGTGCAAATTTTTAGGCCTATGTCAGCTTTAAGTTTCAGTTAGGTAACCAGTAAACAATGGGCACCGCTGCCTCTATGGGTCTTAGGAACGGCACCACAGCCAAGCCGCCAACTCCTTGGAGGCTGATAATCCAAACTCCGTCAGTAAGATCATGGGTTTAGGACTACTGCGGTTTGGGCTGCCAATTTTATCTTGCGTTGCGAGTATGGGTGGTGGTGAGCAACAGCAGTGGTTGGTACTTTACGGATATTTGTTTTTCATAGCATTGCTAAACAAAAACTCCAGGCGCCTGTCATCCACTGTAAAATGTAAAACGCACCGGAGAGCTGATAGTTTGTGAATGTACTTGTCGCACTGATTTATGTACCTTCGGTATTTGAGATGACGCTATTCAGGGACGCGAAAGTGTTCACTGTATGAGTCCACAGGTGGGGCAAACGGACATTAGGTGTGAAGCCTTTGTTTATGAGAACGAAAACACGCATGTGCCCGGGTGTACTGACCACACATTTACTTCAATAGCATATTCTCTACAGCAAGCACCTTCTTACGTTGTCCAAACATTCAGTTGTGTGGTGCTTCATTAGCCGTTTCATCAATTTGTCGATCATATGAGCATCATTACTAAAGAGTGGATTATCGCAGTTTCCGAAGCATATCAAAAACCAGCTCCATAAAACAGTTTCAGCGCGTCCTCTCCTTCACCGTCGATAATCCAGCACGCATCTGTGTTACCCTTAGAAGGCCACGTTGTACTGAATTCAGTGCTATCATTATCCGGGTTGAGAGGAGTACCCAAATCTCCTCGTTCATTGGTTGATTCCGATAGATAGTATTCCGTAGTTGCAGGAACACGATCATCCTGGACAAGCCTCGAACAGGAGTTTTTTTCATTCACGAGAGCTATTTTTCAATCGTTCGTGGTTGTCACATTTTCTCTAGACGATTACTCGGAAAGCAGGCTCCTTTCTTCGCCGGAAATTCTGAGAGCCGCCCATCTATGTACAATCCTGTGTAATTCATTCTCCGATATTTTCCAGATATCTATATCTTGATTAGATGAATTTCTCAGTAGTGTTTCAGGTAGTGTTGTGTGTGTTATATCTGCTGCTGACCCGCTCCAGTGCTTAGTGCCGGAGAAAAGACTCACAGAATGGAACACAACAGATATATTCCGAACGGACGAGCGAGTGCAAGAGCAAAGGTTACAACGGCCCCACGCTATGTAAAGGGGGTTTTCTGACATTGATCCAGGCTGTCTGATAGGCGTTAATGAACTCGATCGTGCCTCTATGAAATGCCTGAACGATGATCACATTCGGTCGTGCTTCTGCGGCGTGCAAGAACACTCATCAGGTTTTACTGAATTGGTTGAATGATTGACTGGCCTGGATGCTTGCCGGCTTTCTTACTGAGATTTTGGTGGAGTTTTAGGGTCTCACCGGATCCCGGGCTTTCAGGAATCTGACCTTCCTGATGGTGTGGGTTTTACTTAGTTTACGAATTATGCATAGTTTTCTGAAATGAAAACATTTAATTTGATTGACTAATTCTCTAGGAAGTGCATGCACAGCGCCGCGCAGTCCTCCGTGGTTTAGAAATATTTGACGTTTCTGCAGGTGAGAGTTGCCACACTTGCCAAGTTCTGCGCACTAGGAAGTGCAAAGATACTGTTTAGCTGGTCACGTTTCTACTTGATTCGGCGATGTGGATCTGATTCCAACTCAGCTGTTCCTTCTATTGAATCCTGCGGGGGCTTCGCACTTCGAAATTTCGGATATCATTCCGGTTTTCACCAATAGAAATGGTTGTTCAAAAACCGCAGAATACCCACCAATTTCATACGACCAAGTCTGTCAGGTGTGCTTCATTCTCTGAATAGTCAACTTCCCTATCCAGATGTGTAATATCAAAGCGAGTAAAGTTTCCACTCGAATTTCGCTCATTTGGGAAAAGAATGTAAATATGTCTCGTATTACTCGAGGGTCTGTGTACCGCGCTAGAATTGAAAAAAAAACTTAGCGAACCTGTATATGGGTTACGACCTTATTTTTATGTCAAATATAGACGATCTCAATGCTTCCTATTATATCAGCTGCTGTATTTAAAGTTCAGGACTACGGAATTCTCACAAACGATTCGCCAGGGAGGATTGCAGTCTTATTCTGATTCTCATGACCATTATTGATAATAGTACCTTATCGCTGACTCTAGGTGAAGGGGAATTCAGTCTAAAGTGACAAGCGTTTACTGTACCCAACAGTACGGCAGTGAAGCATCGGTGTTGAACACTGATATGCTGTCGATGATGATGATGATGATGATGTACCCAACAAACTTTGTTTTCCGTTTGTTCGATATGTCTGCAGCATTGTGCGGTTTTCATAATGCATCCCGGCCACGCCGACTATACCGTTTACTCTAGTGAATTTAATACGCTTTCGCACGAACTGGAAATCTGTACGTCTCACATAATCCGTAAACAGGCAATGTTCAACCATTGCTGTGCCTATGGTGCGTGGATTCAGATATTGGACTGCTCATCTCGGGCACTCGTTTCCGTCAGTGGACCGAAAGCTGGGAGAAGCGGGAAACAAAGCGATGGCTCACGTCTATCACATCTTCCAGAGCTGGCTTTGGTTTCTTCTGATGAAGGTGTTCGATTGGCCAATTTATAGTCCTGGTCCCCTTTTGAATCAGACTCCTTTGGGCTTACTGGCGCGGTGAGTGTACGGAGGTGCAAGCATCTTTGAACTCACAATTGGGTCGATCATCGGCACATTTAGTAAATTGTAATTAAGATACTGAGGAAGACCTATTTTTTAACGTTATAATGTTCTTACACAAGCTGATGTGCTTGGATTTTGATCAGAGTTTTCATCTGACTAAAAATCATTCAATTCTACGCTAAAACATTTGAGATATTGTCTCAAGAATCAGTCGAATGAAGGGAGGACTGTCGAAGACGCAACCGATCAATCAGAACAGCGACAAAAAGTTTTTAGATAGGAGCTGCTCAACGCACCAATGGGATGTAAGGAATACTGAATACACAGGAACAACTCGAAACGGACCGATGGTATTCCAAGGAAGATATGTTCCAGTTAACTAGTCTCAGCAACGGATATCAGTTGGTCTTTGAGAACTATATAAACTCAAGCAAGTAGGACGGAATCACCTATGCAACCTCGTGCCCAATCACCAGTGTCTGTATCATTTTGTCGCACGGGTGTGTTCGTTCCACCCATGTATCGGGAAGACCAGATTCCAGGAAGCAACCACTGAATGCCCGAAATCTACGGAGACCCTCAGCTCCGCTAGATGCTGACCAGACAGGCAATACCCCTGCAACATGCAGCGCATCGCAGCCTCGTACTAAAGTGAGACCGCGTGCTTCAGCATTGGACTCAGTTCAGACATAGCTTGAAACCGTTGTACTTTTGCACTCGCACGCACTCGCTTGTTCGGGATATAGCTGTTGTGTTCCCTTCTGTGGATCTTTTTTTCCGGCACTAGGTACTGGATCGGGTCAGCATCCAGATACAACAGATTGGCGATTCAGCAGATATAACACCTTCCAACCTAGAGACTGCGACCTTGGATCAATACAGGGCCCGATTGCCTCAGTGTAGCTAAAGGGTGTAATCAGGATTTTGTATCATGTTTATAACCTTACACGTTGGTCTAGTTGCTCTAGTTTCTCCCTACTCCACTTCTTTTCAGTGCCTACCCTGCGTTCCGTCTTCTGGACTGTTTCCGTTATGGTATTTCAGCTTCCCTACTTACACAATCACAGAAACTAGCTTTACAACTGAAATGTGACTTGGAAAATGTCACCAACTTGCGCGCTTCCGGTGACGACTTCCGGTGGTATGTTCAGGTAACAGTTCTTGAGTACAAAACGACCGCAAAATATATCAGGCAATGTGCACTAACTGTGGACAGGAGTTTCCTGATTTTATCTACATTTGTCCTGCGGTATGTTGTTGGGGTTCATATTCACTGGCTTTCTTACGTAAAGGAGCGTGTCGCTCTTAAGGACAGTCGTGGCGATGCAAACCTTATCATTCGGTGCAAATTTTGCAACCGTATTGGGAACGTTGGTGAGTCCTTTACTCCCCTTACCGTTCAGTACGAAGAGACTGGGTTACAGGGGCTTTCTCTCTGAACTGGATGTTTTGAAGTCAAGTTATGCGTTGTGCTTGCGAGTTCGCATTGCTCACTGTTGCGTATTCTTGTGCCGGCCGTCAACCTGAAGTTCATTGCGCTTTGTCAGTTCGGATTGTTCGTGTACATTGCTTTTCAGTCATTTGATGAAACATTGGACGTTGCTAATCCCCGCCCACATCGGGTATCGACCATGTTTTGCTGTTTCACTAGCTTGTGTCGCAAGGGTAAGGTCGGTGTGTAATGCTACTTCGTTTCACCTGTGCATCGTTTGGAAATGAGATGACCTTCCAGATTATGCTGGATGGGAATCGCCCCAGACGCATGAAATGCTTTCGTATATATCATAGTCAAGTAGAAATTTAACACATTAGGATTTAGAAAGCATCTTCGCTCTCCTCCAGCTTGTATTAAGAAGTGGTTTCGATAGTGTTTGCGGGATGCAACGTTTCCCTTTTCGTCGAATCAGAGTCGTTCGTGAAATCCGTGAACATGGCGTATAAAATTTGGTTGCATTCTTGGGATTTTTATTTCAGCGAACATAATGCCAATCATACTGCGTTCGTTTTGATTTAGCTTATCCTGCAGGAACATTTTCTATCAGAATATGGGAATCTGGCCTGTCAAGCGTGTCAGGATTTTGTTTGCAGTTGAGAGGAAGCTGACTCCTCTTTCTGTCTATCTTCCTTTCCTCCGAACTCTGGCGGAACCTTTTGATTCTCCCAGATTGTGCAAATCAGGTGGAAAAATGCCTTACAGTGCTAGCTTATCCAGTGGAAGCACTTCAACAACTAGTCAGTCTTCTCTGTTTTTGTTTGGAATATGTATACCGGGATGACAAACTTAATCGATCTAGACCAAACTTGAACTACAACCGCTACATAAAATCTCATTACAGAGTTACCCTCCTGTTTCAGATATAGTATCTGGGAGCGATGCGGCCTACAACGCCGAAGACTCCGGTCGGTTCAAAACTATCTTGGTTTTCGAGTGCCGTGGTGTTGAGTTGATAGCTTTTTCTCCACGTGCCGGTTGGTCAGCCGACGGCCTAGATTCCGGTACTTCTTTTGTGGACATTTCGCTATCAGATGAGGTGTGTTATGTTTTTGACCTGGTTCCTAATTGGTGCACTCCGTCTTTGTTCTTACTTCGTTGGATGTGTAATTCCTATGTCTTCGTCGTAAACGAACGCTGCAAGCCTTCTACCAGCTCGCAATAGGCTTTTCGTGTGTAATTGAGAATATATAGTGGTCGTTTTACGTGAGATAATTTTTGTTGTTCTGGTGAACTAAACAGTTAAATTTTCAATGGCCAGAACAACTGTGTACGAAGTTTTTAAGGGACAATGCCGGTCCCCAAAGGAAAACACAGAAATGAGTTTTCCGGAGTGACGACTCGAATGAGTCGGCCGCGATTTTCCCCTATAAAGAAAGGTGAGACTCTTTTAGGAGAGGTTCTTCAGGGAAGCGAGGGTCTGGTCGCAGGGGACTTGAAATAATTTATGTGAGGGCGGTCGCTGAAGAGGGTACATATTTTCACAAAGGAAACTACTCACAAGGTTGCTGAAAACTCTTCGCCCTTCTTGGGGCTCATCAGGTAGGCGCGGTCCCCGAGTTTCCGTTCAACCTTATGTTCTACTTGAACCCCAATCGGACCGTTTTCGAGAAATACACTCATTCTCGTGAAAATCATATTGATTTGCAAATGAGTGTATTTCTCGAAGGTACATATTTGCCCAGAAAAGTGCTGTTTTTTCATTCACAGATTGAGTTGAACCAACACTGGGATTCCTTCTGCAGCTACGATCATTCGGAAAAAGAGGTTCTTCAGACTTTCCTCATCCAATCGTCACGCTGTTTGGACGTAGTAAATCTCCTAACAATATGTGGATTTCTTCACTCACAATCACGAGGCCATTGACTCCTTTTGTACCGGACTAATGTAATAGATTGGAGGGTAGAGCATACAATGCTGTTATGCTTGATCTAACGTTGTGAGAATGATCTTGATTTCACTTTGCCATCGGTTAGCTCTTGTGAAAATGGTACAGAATTTGGCGTCTATGGTATGCATCCGAAGGCAGAAAAAACCGTTGTTTCATCCTTGCTGGATGCCGGACAGCGAGAAACTGTTAGTGGAGTTAGTGGTAATGTCATACATTCCTGAACATAACGCCATTGGGTAGGGAGGGGCGAAGTTGTTCTTTTTGGGGGTTAAGTTCACAACCATCACTACTGTGGTAATTATTTTTATGCTATCTCCCCATTCTCAGAGCTTCCGTTTTGTGTACGTTTATGTGTACGTTTATATGGTCAGGTTCACCTTGGCATCCATATTCAGTGCTGATCAACTCTGCAAGGTTATGACCGAACGTCGCGATGCGTCATAGCGCCACAGCAATATATGCGGTGCGTAATTGGGAGACGTTTTGTGACCTCTTTCGCCGATCACAGTGGCCTGTATTTGGACGTTGACCTCCTATGTCGAACACATGTACAGACACTTTACCACACTGAGACGCACTGACGAAACGCCTGCAACAAATTTACCAGCGAATAACTAAATCAACATGTAACTAAACACTGATATGACTCGTCGAGTTCACGTTGACAGTGTCATTGGTGACTTCCGGAACGCAGTTACGCCGCATCATACTCGATCATGTTGGACTGGGGAAAGGCAAAACCCTACTGTGTTGTTTTCTGGGCAGTAGGCTGGGGAAAATGTAGGAGCACCTAGCCGGGGTTGTTTGATGTAGTTCAATAAAAGCCGAGTAACTGAGCTTGCTAAATTTCACTTTCTTCCACTAACTGCAGGTTCCGTACCTTTCTCTATGTGCGGATGATTTGTAAAAATTTTACCTACTGTGACAACCCATGGGTAAACCTCAAAGTCGGTTGGCTGTCGTTACCATTTCATATCGGTTGTGTCAAAATTGAAGTATTGTTGGAATAAGTGCTCTGCAACGTTGCCTAATTGCAATATCAGTGAGGGTTTTGTCTCCCTGAAACTCAACTTACAATTCACTGATGCAGAGGAGTAAGACGAGTGACTCACTTCTATTTCGGCTCATGTGAAATTGGCGATTTACGAGTAACAAACACCGTTGGGTGGAGTGTTTCGTCAAAACCTGATGGAATGATGGATGAAACAGAAAGATGTTTGGAATACCAGTCTGTTGATGAGGCGGGTTGTCTACCTTTCGGACCGCGCTTTCGCACGGGGCTTTATAGCATTTCTCTTGTGTGATAGATGTACTGCTGATCAAATCATGATATTGCGATTCTTATCAACTGGCAGGTTTCAGCAAAGCATGTGTGGAAATTGATTAGATTCATTCATACGCTGCTTGAGAGGAACCAGATATTTCAGCGAGAAGTGCACAGAAGCGACACCGCATTTATCAAAATGTGACTACCCAAGTGAATAACCCATCAGGATAAGATCAAACAAAACGAAACAAGGAAAATGCTCAGTTCCCAGGTATACGCTCTTTCCATCTATAGACTACCTTCAGCTAAATACTGCTTTTAGCTGTCCTGAAGGACGTTTTTTGTTCAAACGGGGAGGACGGTTTCAACTTGTTCAAATAGTTGCTAGAAACTTTATTGGTTACTATTTGGTAGTACTAATAGCCTGGGTGAAACTGCTTCTCATGTATTCTTTTCTCTCTCTCCAGAACTGGTGTGATTATGACGACAAAGGTGACTGTGAAGTTCACATTTTCAATGTGGAAAGTCGATTTGTGAAGCTGAAGTAGAAACTGAGGAGGTTCTCTTACCGGCTTTCGATTTCCAAATGCATATTTGCTAACAAATATGTTACTTGTGTTTTTTAGAACTAGACTATTTCTATGTTGGTCGTGCACATCCATTGGTTGCTTCGCTTCCATGTTTCGCTGCTGAATGATCGATATTTTTCGAAGAACCGAATAGTTCGCTGCTGTTGTCTGGTGGCCTTTAGTAAGATCCCGCATTGGGACTAATCGACTCGTGCGGGATATGCATCATGCGGAGCTTCGTACAGTTATACACTTTTAAATTAGAATTTTTCTTGTAGGAGCATATTTCCGAAATCCGAGTTTCCCATCATGGTATGCGCATTGTGGTCGGGAACACTCTTCTTGTCGGACGTATGGTTTTCCCGACCTCCGACGAGTGTACAGGTTCGAGACAATCAACTGGTTGAAGTCCTCCGAGACAATCATTGAAGTCCTCTGTGTTGTGACTGTGTGTTAGCTGGATGATTTAGAAGGTTGATGGAACTTACTTTATCGCGTGTGGCATTCTAAGTACTTGAGTGGAAAACCCCCTAGGAAGAAGATGAAGGACACCGAATGGAGATGAATCATTGCAAGAAAGTGGTCAGTATCAAAACTTTCGCAATGATATGGTGCAACGTAAAAACCATATGGATAGGGACACGTGTAGATGAAAAGAGCCGCGTTTAACCGGAAAAAGCTGCAGTATAGACCTCAGTGTGAATTAGCTCTCGAATCTTGGGAAATTCACTAACCAACTCTTGTACATCTGCCACTCCCATCTAGAGGAACTAAGTTCCATCGGATGAGTCTTGAATTTCTCATCGGCTCACACTTGGGTACCTTTCAGCTGGTGCATTTGAAAACACCATGCTTTGGGAGGTTCGTCTACAAGTTGAACAGTTCACTAACATTGTGGGTACAACTATAGTCAAGGTATAGTGTATTGTCACTGACTGTTAGATGGATGATTTATGAGTTTGATGGAATTTATTCTGTCGCCTACGATGGTCCAAATACTTGCTTGGGAAAATCTCAAGAAGACAAAGGACACTGGATGAGGATCGGTTATATTGCAGATTAACCAATGGGAGGAGCTCTGCGGCTCAGTTGGCTACAACAGAGAGAAAATGAAATTTCAGTGGAATATTACAAAAGGTCGTTAGGATCTGACTGTGCTAATACATCCCCTTTCAGATATGGAGTCGCCTGAATTGGCGTAAATGGCTTTGGGTGCAGGGATCACCGTCCTGGTGTGAATATGGATTCGACTGGGGGTTGTCTGCACAAGGGGTACATGTGTGGGTGGTATCTCAAAAGTATCCAACAATATGTCCAGAGGAATTGAGTTATCTGATGTAACCGGTGCAACGTGTCCAGGGCGAAGTTGATTCAAGTGAAGGACCAACGTAGCAGTCTATACGTCGACTTCGTATATGACGTTACCCATGCGACGCTTGATGTGACAACGGTCCATTTCTCTCCACCACTGTCATATTCCTTAGCCAAAACCGAATCACCGGGCTTATAGGTGGTGTGAACGGCACCCTGATGGTTGTTGAACTATAGCTCCGTTTGTGTGTTTCCTTTTTTAGGTGCGGTGGAGATGGGCATACTAAATCTATGGGGAAACGGATTTACCACTGTCACCTTAGCCAAAACCGAATCACCGGGCTTATAGGTGGTGTGAACGGCACCCTGATGGTTGTTGAACTATAGCTCCGTTTGTGTGTTTCCTTTTTTAGGTGCGGTGGAGATGGGCATACTAAATCTATGGGGAAACGGATTTTATGCTCAAAAAGCGCTTCCGCATGAGAGTTGTTATTTGGCAGATTTGAGTCAGGTGTCGCACAGTAGCTTAACAAAAAGGCTTCAATAATCTACGTTGACGTTCCCTACCCTTTAAGTTTTTGAAGTGCTCGTTTGAAAGTGTCGACAAGCCGTTCGACTTGGCCATTAGATTCAGGATGGAATGACGGTGATCTAATGTAGTGAATGCCATTTTGCTTGCAAAAAAAGACGCTTATTCCGCGGAGGTAAACACAATGCCGTTATCAGCGCACTGCTATGGTACGAGTCAGAATTGTGCGTCGGTGGGCCTTTACTGGTCGTGGTGACCTACGATTGTGATCGTTTGTTCTGGTGAGCGATTGCATTGTTTTGTTACGCTTGCGTCCGGGCTAATCAACGTCCAGGTGACCTTTGAGCATGAATTCTAGTTTAGTTCTGCGATCAACCGTTGTCTGGTTCGTTTGATGTTCGATTGCTTTTGCATTATCAGATCGACTCTTTGATCCCTTGTTCTTAGAACAGTACTGGTTGGGTTCATGTGGGAGTACTATATTTCCAAAAGTTAGGTTGTGTGGTTGTTGGTCTGTTCGCTGAGCTTGGCAGTTGGATTGCAGCGAACAGACCAACAACCAAACAACGCACCCGAGCTACCTACATTCCACAACATTGCTAGTTAGGTTGTGTGTTTGGCCACAATCCTCACATCTTCCGAAACGAAATGATGAATTGTCCTGTCTCCATGTCCTACAGCCGCCTCGTGTTCATTGGTTCGTCTGGTGGATGCCTTGTTCGATTTCGTACTTTGGTCTTGCAATCAAGCTTCTCAAGGCAGTGTTTGGTTTGCGAGTCATTGTAATTCCATATATCTCCAGCGTTCTAACTGTTACTTCCGACTCATTGTAGAGGAACATCTCTTGTTTGGTTGTCTGTTCTTAACGAGGCAGCTATCGCTGAGACGCCCTCTCCCCCAAGTTACTGACACAGCTAGTATCAGTTGTTTTGCCTTATTCAACTCTCCAGTTTGTTTTCTCTTTGAATGGACTTTGAATTCACCCCCTTTTGCGATTCATCAGGTTTACTTCAGCAGTTGAGCTGTGTTTTATTTCTTTCTACGTGGATTTGACCGGTGAACCATTACGTTTGTGGCCTTGATGTCCTCGAGTGTGTTGTTGATAAGTTTACTTGCGTTTTTCATTGACTTTCTGTTTCATTTAGCACACTACCAGTGCACTGTCCAAAGCTTTGGATTCGATATGTAAATGATACCAGCAACCGAATTTTTTTTAAAAAAATAGGGTCTGGCTCACAACCCATCCAATGGGAGCATTAGAACGGACGCCAGCATTATACAGACAGTGGGAAACTCTTTCCGGTGTTAGCCAAAGAACAATCGGCCAAATGAATTCGTGATCGATTTGGTTTCTGCTCTTTATCGAAAAAAAACCTGGAGAGGTTGTCTGTGCTGATGATGTGCCGAACCGTTCTTTGGATAGCGTGTTCTCCGAGAAGATTCATTATCGAGGATTTCTCGTTCGAATTGTGTATTGATATGTGGCCGCTTTGATATGCTACTCCTGACAGAATATTTTTCGTTGCTTGTCGGTACGGTCATCGGGATAGATTTGTTGGTGTGTGGTCTTTCGAAACCACCCAGTAGTGTTCTGGTATTGTTGCAGAAGGGCACTTAAGGCGCAACAATAATCGGAATATTTCGCGAGAAACCGGCGTTTATTCAAATTTTTAAGAAATAGCTTTTTTCGAGACCAAAATCATGGAGTCCACCGTAAGCATCACCCTTCTGGATCAATAATTTCATTCGTTGCACCTTGCATGTTAAGGAGAACCCAAGAAGTTTCAGTTGAGTTACCTTTTTGGATGATTTTCCGCTAATCAGTCAAATCATTCTACATTCTCTTCCGCAATACTTGATAACTGTCCCAGACTTTCGGCTGAACCAGTCCAAACGAGTTCGGTGAGAAAACCTCTCCTGCTCATCTCCATCAGCTTGTGCCAGTCTCATTTGTGCTATTGTGAAAGTGCAGTAACGGTATTTTCTCGGTCTGAGCCTCCCAAGCTATCGTTCACGTCAAAACAACCACCAACGGTGCACAAGGTCTATTAATGCCCAAAACGAAGTTAAGAACAGTTGTACAGCACTTCGTATATATAGTGTAAGCGGTTATAACTTTATGGAAGTTCTGACGCGTTCTAGATGCGCCATTGGCAACCTGCATTTGGCCAATACTGGGTCACAATTGGCTGTCGGGTTCAGATTTCTGACCATTCAGATCTCGTCTTGATGCCGGACCGGCAAGCATCCCGAATTCTTGGCCAATCTAGTACGGGTCAGGCTTATCGGCCGTAGCAGCGCCTAAAGACGTGTGGTAAAGCGGGATCCGTGTGGAATTTTGCCTAACAGAAAGAAAAGACAATATTTTGATATCTTGAATATCGGAAACTTTTGTATTCGTTTTCTGGTTGAAGAACATCAAGCGAGAGGTCCATTGAAATCCAGACCGAAGGTTCCGTTCAAGACAAATATAATCATCGCCTAGTACGTGTGCCAAAGCAGAACAACTCCATGAATCAACTTCGACACGTTTCGTTTGTCTGACGAATGACAACGCTGGTGGATTACGAAGGCAGAAGACAATAAAGGTTTCGCTGCAGGCAACAACAGCGCCCTAGTTCAGCTGATTCAATCAACCGATTTATAGATGATAAATGTTATCGAAACGATATGCGAAAGGCCGAACCGCCATTTAACCACAAAAGCGTCGTCTTGAGTGACGGGTTGAACACTTCATAGAACAGTTCAGATAGTCTCCTTCAACGCAACCCCCGGGAAAATCGACACCAACCCACTGTAAACAACAGAAATCAAGCGTTAGATATCAACGCAATAAGTCACCTGACCCGGATGGCCTGCAGTCCTTACTCTTCAAAGAATGTGGTGGGGTCAATTAGGAGAGTCTGACCACCATACTTCAGAAGATTTGGAATGTAAACAATGCCAGCCGAACTGAGCTCCTCAACGGTTATCCAAATCTATAAAACAGGTGCAAGAGCGTTAGGCAAAAGCCTTCGTGGCATCAGTCGACAGCATGACATCAGTGTTCAAAACCCACGCTTCACTGCCGTACAACCATGATTTATTTGAAAGCCTTATTGTAAAGAAAAGAGTAAAGGTGGACGGGGGAGGACTTAGATTCACAAGCATCAGCTTGGGTTTTGCCGTGGCCGAGGATGCATCACCGTATCAGATGACCGTTGATCTGTTCGCCGAAGTTGGCAATTGGTTTGAGAACGTTTCGTTCCCAGTGAAGGAGAAACGTTTTCAAGCCAATTTCCAAGCTCTGCGAGCAGATCAACATTCAGCTGACCCGCCACCAGCAAATACACCCGAGGTACCGATATTTCGACACATTGACAATCAACCCTACCTATCTATTTCTCTCGAACAGCGTTAATCCTTCAAACGGCCTCGTTGATCGTTCTTGATCTGTCAGCTGTTTTCGACTCGGTGGACTATCAAAAACTTGGCGTTGTCTGATGATCAAGGGCATCCTTTCCCAATCAGTATCCCTCATGATTACATTGTATACGAGCTCCTTCTGGTGCATACAAGTATACGACCAGCTTTCCTCTGAGTTCAGCACGTCCACTGATGTAAGACGATGCGGCCCTATCTCGTCTTTCCTGTTCAACTTTGTTACTGATGTGCTGCTTGCAATTTCTGTACTCGACTCTGAAACCCTGGAGCTGAAATGCTACTGGGACGTTCGCTCATACGTTGAGTTTTCGGGGGATAATGCTTTCCTTGGTTCAGATCCTTGAATAATCCAAACCATTTTGAATAACTTGCATAATTCGGCCGCACGGTTTGGTATGCCCTTCACACCTGCAAAGTGTAAAGTACTGTACACGATTGAGCGGGATCAAACCCAGATCTCATGCTTGTGAACGAGTCAGTCGAAGTGGTAGATGGATTTGTTTATCTGGCGCCGACTTGACACAAGTTTATCCGGTGATGGCAGTGTTTACACTATGGATTTACGTTATGAATGAGAAACGTGGCCTTTGCGCGCAGATGACATACGAAAGGTGTCAGTGTTTGAGCATCGGTGTCTCCGAGGCATTGGTCAGGTCTGGTGGGAACATCGGTTTGGCAATGTTGAGGTACGCCAGGCAGGTTTGGAAGTAAGGAATCAAACCACGATAGATGAACTACTCAGGCTTTATAGGTCACACTAGTTAGGACATGTACTCATGCCAGAGGACCATCTTACTCGCAGCGCTTTTTTGCCCAGCCCCGTGCTGTGTGGAAGCAACTGAGAGGTGGACCTGGCAATGAATGATGAGAGCAGTTCATCATCACCATCATCGAAAGCATGACATCAGTGTTCAACACTGATGCTTCGCTGCCGTACAACCATTATTTATTTGGAAGCCTTATTTTAAAGAAAAGAGTAAAGGTGGACAGGGAAGGGACTTAATGCTAGCTTACCACAATCATTCCGAGGTGCCTACACCTCCAGACATTCACTCCGGCAATCTGGATAGAAACTGAAAACAAGAATGCCACTGACATCGGTTGGCAGCCATATCTTGTAGTGTCTCCAACCAGGCACAGTGGGGATCACGCGGTCCCCATCCTGGAAGGCGAGTAGCACAGACAACACCCAAGTGTTTCGTGGTCTCCTTCATACTCCTCTGCCAGACCAAGGGTTGGCCACCTCTCTGTTTACGCCACTCTGAATAAGGGCATGGGAAACAGCACTATCTTCGGCTAACGATGGTTGGGCCTACGCAACACATGTCTCAACCAACGCAGCTTCTGGTGCTGAACATATTCTTCAATGGAAGTACCCATTACACAACCGAAAACGCGCTTTCTAACTGCCTGGTTACGGATTCGCTGACACCAACTCACACGAGCTATGGTTCTGAGACAACGATTGTCGAACACCTGAAGACGTCTCAGTTCCGATGCTCGAATAGGTCAAGTCTCACAATCACACAACAAACACAGCCCGTACTGTAGCTTGATACACATGTCTCTTCAGATTCAGGGATAAACCATTCGGACGCCATAGGTGTCTCAAGTTAGCAAATGCGGCCCGAGCCTTGCAGATTCGTGCATTCACCTCATCTGTCACACTACAATCAGAACTAATACAACTTCCAAGATACGTAAAACGCTCCACAACTTCCCTCTCCCTGGATTGTAAGTGGTGTGTTCAGTGACTGCATGTCCACAAGCATGACCTTACTCTTTGTGGGTGCAAAGTGCATACTCAAGGACGGGATGTCTTTGGTTAGTTCATCCAATAATACTTGCGCCTTCTCTTCGAACATGAGAACGATGTCGTCTGCATATTCCAGATCGACAAGGTTTCCTTCACAAGCTATTTGCACACCAGGGTTTTGGAGGCCCTCCAGCGTTCGTCTCATTAGTTCATCGATGAGAGCAGTTACCAGACAACGAAGCCGTCTAGATACCGGTGGCCTCTCCGGATGGGGACCGTGGGACGTAATGACCAATGGTTAATTGCCCAGTAACACAACCAGTGGCACTTTTGCATTAAATCCCTCTCATTCAATGTGTCGCTACCCAGTTTCCGAAATAACTGGACATCCCATCACCTCCAATCCTTTGCTGTATGTCCCACAATCACTTTCAGGTGGTCGCATCTATAGCAGTTGGAGTCAATGTATCAATGCTGCACAGCTTACAGCTGATAGCTTGAATCGCTTGGTGTCCTACGACTATGCACGGATCTTCGTCCTCTGACCTGAATTTCTGTTCCGCGAAGACTAGTTCATTAAATTAGATGGTAGGGCGCACTACACAAACCACCTGTTTTACTGGATATGCATCCCACGTCTATCACAAACGAATGTGCAGATTCTCACTAAATCTCAACGCACTCCGGCGGTAGGGGTTCAATGTACTGTAGGAATTTATCATGGGTTTCTCACCCCCGGAGCCTCAGTCATGTGCTTTTGAGCTCAGATTTTCACGGTGAATTTCCTTTATTCACACTGTACCTATCAAATAAATATTCTTGGGTAATAACGTGGGTGAGCGTGCTACTTTTACCATGTCTGCTGTATATCACTATCGAATCTGTCGGTTGTCGGTGTCCAGTTTTAAAAACTAGGGCCCGAAAATTGCTGTGAGACAACGGTAAATAAACACTGTTTTCACAGAATGAAACGGTGTAGGATCGTCCTGCTCACTGTACATCCATATAGCCTGTGTTGGGAACCTTTTACCAACCAAGTAACCAGGTTTCAGTGAGATCACGCATATGTTCAGACATCTCCCTCAGGACGTAAGCATTCCAGATAGTGAGCGAGGATTTCATTTATCGTTAAGTGAAAATGAGTTTGAACTCATTTAGCCAGGCTCTCTGAGAGTTAAACCCGCATCCGAATGCATATGATACGAGTGCATATTGATGAAACTCCACTTGCTATCTCCTCAACTGAAGGGAAATTCTATACTCGACCCGCACATCCATTCAGACGTCATTTTAAACGTGCACCATCATCATCGACAGCATGACACCAGTGTTCAACACTGATGCTTCAGTGCCTTACAAACATGATTTGTTTGAAAGCCTTATTGTAAGGAAATGACTAAAGGTGCACAAAGAAGGGACTCGGTGCTAGCTTGCCACCGTCATTCCGATGTGCCTACACCCCAAGACATGGCGTTTTACTTGTCATGCTGAGCAATCCATGTTATGCTACAGGCACTGTTTGCTCCACGCTGTTGCCAAATGATTCTAGGCTGTTCGTCAGAGGAGACAATACACCTTGTACATATATTGTTGACTGTCTATCGTGAACCTGTCTCGATGGGGATAATACGAATAAAAATACTGAAAACGTCCTAGGAAATGACACCACGTTGTTATCCAACCTTGCTTAAGTCTGCGTTCATTCCTGACTTCAATGTGCTGTGTTTCGTTTCGTGAATACTTCCTCCTTGCAGTATCTGTGTTTTCTAATAAACCAATGATCGAGTAGCTCAGTTCAGTTGCCGCGATTAGGGTCAGTCTAACTGGCTTATACGCAATTCAGAAGAAGTTATCTGAAATCAGTTAGAAGAATTTTAATCGGTTTCCGCTAGAGTATTTATTCAGGCTTTCATGTTTCAGGGCTCACACTTTGGAACAAACATCTGTGTCCTTCATTACTGTTAGCTGTGGGGCTGTTAATTCATCATTCAGATATTATCTTGTCACAGATTAAAACGCAGAAAGTGAAGCTCCTAGTTGTGGTTGATTCCAGAGAACAGTTTTTTTACTCAGAATTTCGACAAAAGCGTCGTTCTGTTTCCATAAGTTTTTCACCACCTCCGAGGACAATTCCGAGTGAGCTGCATATGTGCCTTTAAACCTCTCCGGATGATCGACTATTTTGGAAGTTGTAACACCCAAAACATGGCCCTAATAAGAAGATGCTCGAATGTGATGATGTGTACTGAGAAAGTACACTAGGCTTGTTGTACAGCGCCTCATTCACTATACTGACCCACCAGAGGTCACGCCGGTCCATATTGTTACCATCGATTTTGTGATAAGTCGATAACGAAAGTTTAAATCATTTCCAGTCTAGAGCCCACTAAGCTGTGGGTAAACCTGGCGAAACGGGTGCCAAAAACGAAAAAATGCGGAATGCGAATAGGTCAAACTCCACGGTAGATTCACCACCTGTTCCACAATCAAAGGACACCGAATGTACTCAAGTTATCACGGGGCCTATTCACACACACAAACAATCTCGGCCCCAGGCGCCCAAATCAAAACGTAAACGTTCTCGATCTGAGTCAAAGCCGGCTAAGAAAAGGAAGGTTTCGATGTCTAAAAGGAAAGAGGGTGCTATTGGGCAACATAAGGCTAAAAAGTGCAAGATGATAGTCAAGAAGGTTTGCAGCCTTGTTGGAAAAACTCGGAAACCCATACGACCCAAGGCAAGTTCAATTCGTCCTCGAGCAATTGGAAAAACAAAAAAAGGAACCAAGGCATTGTCTTTGAAGAAATCCAAAGTCCATTCACGAAAATCCGGCCCTGAGAAAAAGAAGAGGATAATAAAGGAAAGCTCAGTTAAGTCCAAGAAGAGGGGTAGACGGAACGTCAAACGAACGGTTAAAAGAGTTAAACATCCATCTGGGATCAAATGCACATCAGACAAGGTATCGCGAAAGCGTCCACGATCCGTTTCACGCAAACCAACAGCTAAAATATCAAAAAAATCGACTCCCAAAAGATGCTCCTCCACACATTCTGTCTTTCGGATGATATCTGCACGCGTTGCTCCATGTGTTAATAAGCAGAAAACAAAATCAAACAAATTCATCGCAAATCGGGGCTTATCGGCCGAGTGGGCAAAAAGGCTGCGTCCGAGACCATTGAAATCAGCAAGATTTTCTTGTTATCGTGATGCCTGCTTCAGCCAGCTCACTGAAAAACCACATCCCAAGAAAATAAAGTCAGCAAAGTCTCCGAAAAAGAAGCAGAGCAAAAAGAGGAGGGAACTACCCGCCGTTTGCGGCAAAAATAAAAATAATATGTGCGGAACCTCGGATTCCCCAGTTTTAAACCAAAATACAGTTACTTGTTCACTGGAGCAGCTGTGTGATCATGGTGAACTTGTGAACAACCACTGTTCTTCTAGGTTCTCCGAATCTGCCATCCCTAATACAACCAACCAAGTCAGCGAATCTATTTTGGATACCTCTGACATCTTAGTAGAATCAGCATAAACTATGCACTACTACTACTAATGAGTAATAAGTACGTATGTATGTACTTACAACTAGTGACCTACTTCAGTCCTGTCAAATATAACGGTAATTTGCAACCCCGGTTTGTTCTTTTTTATGATTTGATTTTATGTGCACATCTGCCGGGTGTTTTGCTGTTTGCTAATGAAATTTCTAAATGCGAGCATGGGTGTAAAAATTTGCTGCGCAATTCAGTTAGATGCAGCCCGAGGCTTTTATTAGAACTAAGCGGACTGATACAAAAGTGACCTCGTCAACGTCGACGTCATCCGGGCTGAATCCCCGACAAATGATGCGTTGGCTTGTAGAGGTTACTTTCGTTGGGGAATATTGAGGGACTAGAACTCGACGGCTTTTTACATTAATCGTAAACTATGTTGGCCTCACCGGTCAAACAGAGGTCTACCGAATCCAGTAGGTCCTGCGTTTGCGTTGGCACCTTTTAGACAGGTCTAAAATGCCAGTTGGAATGGAGAACCTAACTCAGTCTTGGTGATTTCGGATAAATCCAACGACTGTTGTTGCTGAAGTACACGACCCTATAAACTTGAACTGCGTGGAATGCTTGTTGCTGTATCGTTGTGACCTACAGCTCTCCGTATAAAATTTTTAGAAGTGCTGTTTTTTTGAATTTGGGCCTTTCGTGAGTAGTCCGGATCAAATGTTGGTTTGTGAGCATATGAGGTTAACCTTGCATTAACTGCATTTCGCTAGCTTTGCTACTACCGAACTGCCTTACTGCTGCCTCTCGTGTCACTTTTTTCCTTCTACTTTCCGCTTTGATTAGTGTGGATGTTAAGTGAAACAGACGCTTGCATTCCTTCCACAATAAACGTATCAACTACCCTTCTCACAAACGGGAATCTCAAGTTTTGTTTAATTGGTCTGTGGTGTCCCTGTCGTTGGATGATCTGATCAGTTGACAACCGTGAACCGTTTATGTACGGATTGTAGTTTGGATCTTTGCAGCATGTGGCGGCTGTTGGCTGAAGAATGGGTAACAAATGATAAGTCCAAGCGTTTCCCGCCAGGTGATGTCTTCCAGTTGGAAGCTTACTCAACACTAAGGCTCGGCGAAGTAAACGATCATCCAATACAAGATCGCGCCAGCGCCGTTGGAGCCGCGAACTCAGTTCAATGTCAAAGTAGTTGATTTATCACCAGAACTCATTCGTCGCACTTTGACGTTGCAATGTCACTGTTCTCTTGGAATATGTGCAACGTGTTCAAGGTACCTATTGTCGAACGCTTGCAGTTTTCGATCCTGGCTAAGTCAAACCAATGGTTTTTCGGTTCGGAATCTCAAGAGTAGGTGAACAAAGCTAATCATGGTATCGGAACCACTAAAGATATTAGACTAATACGCTTATCTACGTAGCTGTACCACGTGGGTTGACCGCACTGTTGACGAAGTCCCGTTAAAGCTCGTTCTACTTTTCTTAAATTGGATGTCTTTAGAGCCCACGTGAAGCTAGGCCGTGGGCTAAAAGCAAAAACGATTTCAGCGTTATTGACAGCAGCCAAGTCAGGCTACTGTCCATCAACAACAGTACACCCATTACCATAATCACTGACAGCAACAACACTGAAGAGCACAAACGTGTCAAACACGTCGACCTATTTTAATGCAGCCACAAAAGGAAAAGAAGCGATAGTTGAACCGAGAGGGCGACTCAAGGTTTGGCTCACCAAAGGCATTGGAGATGATTACACCCAGAACTGAATTGGACGCTCCGGACAGAAACCCATAGCATGGATGCCATTAGTTTCAACCACGTGAAAAATGCTTCGAACCGATTGTGTAGTCATCATTTTCGAAGACGTTTGTTGACAATCGGTAGATTTATTGCTGGGCAACGTTTCTCTTTTGACACAAAAGCTTCGTCAGGCCAAGTGACCAGGTTCCGAAGTTGGTCGAGATTTAAGGCGGAAGGAGAACCAATCAGCTAAATCAGGCTAAATCTCTGTTGGGAGTCGGTCGAGGGATTTTTGTGTGTTTGGGTGTGTGAACAAATGTTGGGCCGATGGGGATAACGTGAACCGCTTTCATGATTTTCTCAATAGTTTATATCCACAAATAACCTTTAGCATGGAAATAGAGTCCACCTCGTGCACATTGCCCTTTCTGTACAGTATAGCACTTAAGATTGGTGGGAAATTAAAAACTATGACCCACCATAAACCAACAGACACAGGAACAGTCCTACTGTTGTTGATGGACATTAGCCTGACTTGGCTGCTGTCAATAACGCCAGATACGGCAGTGAAGCATCAGTACCAACACTAACGTTGCTGACTTTGAGGATGACGAACGCTGAAATCGCTTTTGCTTTTAGCCCACGGCCTAGCTTCACGTGGGCTCTAAAGACATCCAATTTAAGAAAAGTAGAACGAGCTTTAACGGGACTTCGTCAACAGTGCGGTCAACCCACGTGGTACAGCTACGTAGATAAGCGTATTAGTCTAATATCTCTAGTGGTTTCGATACCATGATTCGCTTTGTTCACCTACTCTTGAGATTCTAAATCAAACGGCAGCGTTTTTTGATTATCTGTTATAGTTATTATCCGGATATCATCTGAACCAACCGTTCAGTATCGTCTGCACAAGCCAGGTCTTTAAAATTTTTCTTTAGAAAAACACTACCCCAGGGGCAGTAGAGGTAATAAGCTTTTCACTGGTAATTAATTCGTCTCCATATTTGACAAAGAAGGGTGATAAAAGATAGCACTGACGAACGTTGCTTTTGGTTATCAACTCAGATGGATATTCTCTTTGAACATTCACACACCTAAGGATTTCGAAGTCCTGGTACCGATGAAATGTGACAAAGTTATTATAAGCGCGTTTGGAAGAGACATTCACAAAAGACATTTAAGAAAACAATTGTTGGCCTTTTTTCTGTGTGGCGGCTTTCGAGGAATTGTGGCAGTTTGAAAAGTTCTGGTTAGCGCACCCACCCGCTAGATTTTTATGACTATGCATCCCACAAATGCTGCACTAGATGCCTGAATTATTGGCCAGACCGATGCCTCGGCTATTTTCGCATTCATATTGGACATATTTTAAAGGACCAGAACCACAGTAGATGCCTGTTATCTCTATACGATTCCATTCACTTTAAAAATGCACTGTATAGTTTTTTCCAAACTGAAGACCGCATTCTGAAGCAACCCAGGACAGAGTTAGGACCAGGTGCTCTGTTGCTGTTCGGAAGCTTGATTTCTTATTGGCTTCATGTTTCGTTAAAATCAATTTCATACACAATGTGAATCTGATTGCGCGTTGTCTCTCACGCCGAGCACTTCCAAGCAGCTAAATCTTCGAAGTGTTTCCTCCATCCAAGCAGATTACGGGACAAAGAACTGGATTTTGGCGTGCGTTCCTCTTTAACGGATTGGTTGACAGATAGTCCCACTGTTTCAGGTACTGGCGCTTCCCTTTATCTAGCAGCCACTTCTTCCCATCAGGTATTGAGCTGCTGGCTAGGTATGAGCTCACAGGTTTTTTACCGATTCTTTTTATCGGTCCGGTGATTAAGCTTTCCGCGCTGAAACACTGAAAATGAAATATGCTTTTCTGCAATGCTTCACCGATAACTAGTGCTGTGGTTTCAGCCCCAGGTTGTGTGTACCCGGCTACACACTGATGCCTCTTAGGTTGGGAACAACACAACTGCAAGGTCATCTCCAAACTCGGCGAACAGATTAACGGTAACCTGATCGACGACCACTAAACGCACCCGATCTACCAACGGTCTGACATATTGAAACCGTATAGGAATGGCAAAGATGAGACGGACACGGAACTATTTTCTGCTCCAAAACACAAATGAACGAACAGTTCATTATGTACAACCCGCAGTTAGAGCGACTACGCTAGCGATATAGTTGTTCTTGGGGTTAAGTCATACCCTGAAGCATTGTTTGAGCGCTCCGCGTTGTGTTAAGGTTTTATGGCTGGTGCCAAAGAACTCACCGCATGCATGCAACATATTGGTGCGGAATTAGTCTAGTTGAGAGCCTTTTGACTGCCCATCATCTGTGGATGGGGGTATCTGCAAGGGGTACTTATGAAGCCAAATCAAGCTGTCGCAGGATATAATCACTCCAAAATAATGGTAGCTTGAGGGCATCAATTAGTTGCTGATCATTTGGCTATTGCTCTACAGCCAACAGTAATTTTTTATCCTGATATCCCCCATTACGTGGAGAGGTAATTGTCAGTGAACCTCTCTACGAGCCATATATGCTAACCGAATTATCGATTTGTTTGTGATTCCGTCATGGAGTGTGGATCAAAACCGATAAACGAACATAAGATAGTCAAATATTACTCATTCACACGAAAGCCATTGGGTTCAAGTAGAACGTAAGTTGGCGGCGCTGCCCGATTCTTTTTCCTACTCTGAACATCCAAACGACTGTATAGTGTGCTACCACAGCATATTGTTCATGTTACATGGCCGAAACATAAGAATGTGAATATCCTGTGCAGCGAATGCAATGCGAACACAGCAACGAAAACTCTGAGAATAAAAATTATGTACTCAATCTGCCCACCAACCGTGAAACAATTCCCCACCAATTCCCCAAACCGCGGTTCGTGTGAGCTTTCAAGGTCTATTGCTGTACGCTTAAACATGCTAAAAACACGACCGATAAGTGGCTTATCTGTCATTCTATCCTTAGTGTGAGGTATCCCCAAAATAGATAATCGTAGATCGAAATCATACTCTCGCTCTTCGAGAAATGCACTCATTTGCGAATCAATCTGTTTTTCACGAGAGACTCAACTGAATCTCTCTCATGTATGATATTCTACAACTGAATGTGCTGCACACAGGCCGCTTCATATTTCAGTTCGCCCGATATTCGAGATATCGCAGTATATTTTCATAAAGGAAACTACTCACAAGGTTGCTGAAAACTCTTCGACAGCCCACGACCGGTTTCGCCCTTCTTGGGGCTCATCAGGTAGGCGCAGTCACCGAGTTTCCGTCAACCTTATGTTCTACTTGAACCCAAATCGGACCTTTTCGAGTTGAGTCTCTCGTGAAAACGAAAGTGATTTGCAAACGAGTGCATTTCTCGAAAAGAGACCAATTTGGGTTCAAGTAGAACATTAGGTTGACGGCAACTCAGGGACTGCGCCCACCTGATGAGCCCTGAGAAAGGCGAAACCGATCGTGGGCTATCGAAGAGTTTTCAGCAACCTTATGAGTAGTTTCCTTTATGAAAACACTCTCGCTCATGTAAGGAAGGATGAAGAAGGTTCGTTGGTTTGTTCGCTGATCATTTACGGTACCTGAGCTATAGAAAAAAGAAGGATATTCGAAACAACGTCGTATCACAGTTGAAAAACGAGAACAACACCGAAAGCCACTAACAAAAACGAATAACCAGAGCAAATGGATAACCGTACATACAGCCATGGTCGTAATGATGAAACAAAGGCGCAAAACAAATCACAATCCACAATTTACTGAAAAGGGAAATAGGTCAGAGTGGTTAGGGAAAACGATGTCATCAAATGATAGTCCGTAACAAAGAAAGCGCGAATCACATTTGTTGTCGATTGGATGAACAAGACAACATTGTGGAGTTCCATGAACTATGTATTTCAAAGGTCATGAAAAAATCCTGGGAAGTGCGTGTGGAGGTGACCAACGAATGTTGCGTGACACACAGCTTAAACACGCTGGATCTCAAACAGACGCACGTTTGTGTCGTACCAGATAGGCGGATTGACGTTTCTGAAACGGGGGGAGGGATTTTGGTAAGAGAGGAACTATGGATGAAAGCGAAGGCATGAAAAACACAACTATGTCGACCGCTGCCACGTGCCTCGCAAGTGCACACAACTGAAGAAACACCAGGCGCAAAGAGGTTTTGGTCGAACAGTCAAAATGACCCTGGAGTTACGCCAAAAATGCACAGAGAATATCAACGATATAATAAGCAAAAGACCCAGTGGTACCCTACGTTCCTGTGAGTTTTTATTGCGGAAATTTCAATGAACCTCTAAGTTTGTTAATTTAAACCATCTACACGTTTTGTCCCAGAAGTCCTATGCTTGTGCATCACTAGTTCTAACAGGAACTAACATGCCTCTACTTTTGAACAGCCAAAAAGCCTTTCAAGTGCTGTAAGTACATTTTGTTACACCAGAGCAGATACAAGTGAAGCTGAATGTGTCATTCTGCTTGGGAGAGTGTCGTGTTGCTAACGTGGAGCCCGCAGTGAAGATTTAACGGCATCGAAGATAAAGGAAGATCATCGGCGGTCTGACAAAAAAATGGAGGTTATATTTGTAGCGGTTACTTCCTTGTTTTTTCAACCAACTACGATTGATTTGTCCAGCACATCCGTGCTCACTGGATCACGCGACTCCTTTGTTCGGTAAACGCACAAATCACGTGACAAAACCCTGTCGCGCTCGCAACCTAGACCGACAAGTCAGTACCGCGCGCGCGCGCAAGGGGCAGGGAGTAAACCACGGAATCAAGTCCACGGACAATTAAGGAACAAGTGTAGCGGCTGTACTGTGGAGAAAACACGTTCCCGCCGTCCGGACTTCAACCCACGAGTTATGCATAAACAATAAGTCACCTTTTGACTTATTCCATCGTTCGCACTGCATTTATTTTATACATGGTGCAACTCGTCACTGAAAACTACTGTCAACCATTGTGAAAAACTGTTATTGACGCATATACCTTCTGAATTATATTATGGCTATCATCAGCTGTGCACTATTACATTGCAGTACAACCCAGGGGTTAGATTGATGGTAAGTTTGTGTAATTCGCAGGCATTTTGGGTTACGTTCGTATGGACCACGATTTAGAACAATTCGCTATTTGTAGCAAACTGTTTGGATGCCCGAGCCTCACATCTTTTGTTATAAATGAAAATGATCAATCACATGTAATATGCAATCACTTGCAATGATGCGTTTCAGAGGGGTAATTGCACCACGAAGCGCAATCGTAATAGGATCGAATTCATCCCAGTATTGTAGTGTTGGCGTTGACCAATTACGATCCATCTATTCTTGACAAATTACAACCTGCCAAAAAGTTTCAACCAACCTAACAAGTAAGGGCTCACGCTTAGGAAGTTCCATCCTCTGGGTGTTTTGCCTTACTGAAAAACAATCAAACGTAAGTGTTGTCACTTTGATTTAACAAAGTAATTTACGGCAGACGCTGGAATATTTTTCATCCTCGAAGACTTTATCAAACACAGCGACTCCTAGGTGCATTCGACGTTCTGCCAGATTATTTCTGCCTCAGCTGTTGAGCAGTGCTACGACCACACGAATCAAAACAGTTCACACAATCGTGCTTTCAGAAACTGTGTTATAGTGGCCGTAATGGAGAATATATGCTCTTCGGGAGGGGGATGGGGTTCCGAGTTGCAACATTCCTGTCAAAACCACCGGGGTTTTTTTCAGCGAGAAAAGAATGTAGCTGTCTTCACAAACAAACAAACCATGCATCTGTAACCAAGGGCAAAAAATACAATGGAGGATAACATTTCACTGGTTCCGACGAGTTGAACGGCAGCGTTTTCATAAGCATGACGCTCGATGCTCCTAGCTCAAGGTTTTCAACACACCCCGAAGCTATGCATGCGAGCGCTCGCTCCACCCATTACATAAGAATGCACAGATAAGCAAAGCGAATGAATTACAGGTTAGTAGGCGCTGCCACAAGTAATGTAACACAAAGCAGGTCAAAACCAACCTCAGGTAAATGACACCCCACAAATAATTCCGAAACCAGATGGCTGTTCCAGCGTTTGATTGGTATTTTCTGATGAGGATTGGGTGAGGGACGGGCAATAGACCGACCAGAGTGCCGTTCTGAAGGAACTTGACGATTTCTGTCTCGTCCGTCAGTCCTCTAAAAAACCAAACCAATATGTTAACTAACTGTTGGACGGATCGTCACTTCTTCAAAGCGACTGTGGTCAAGTTGGCTGCCTGAGGAATATGGCACCCTTTCCAGTTTAACAACTTTTTGAAATGGACAACTCTCCCACCTGATATCCACACATTTGGAATAGACCCATCTTAGCATGAATGACAATAGACGTATTCTCTTGGGTACTAAGCTGCGACACTTATGGTAGACGCTCGGTAAAACGATTTATACCGTTAATGCGGAATGAGAACGAGCATTTGAATAGTTTTTTTAAAATAAAAAAAGAGCACGGGGCAAACCATTGCAGTATAGCCAAAACGAACAGGAAATAAAATGTCAGTCCTACCGATCACAGTGAAACTGGTAACATTTTGAATTGTTTATTATTATGCAATACTACGCATTATACAACACCGTATTACGGTCACGTTGCTATATTGTTATCAGTACTATATTGTACTATCTCACCGAGGAATTCGGTGAGGTCTGCAACTACCGTATTTTTTGTGTGGGAACCTTGACAGAAGATACAAGCCAAGATGACTCAGTCTGCACTCAAGGCGTTCCTGTAACCTCCCATATGTAATACTTCACTTAACCATAAAAAGAATTTGAATCCATAAGGGGCTACTTTTCGTTCACAGTGCGTGTACTGGCACTTCACATTCTTATGGTTTACCACACCCACTGCCTTTTTACGTCAAGCCAATGCCCCTTAAATGCCTGGAGCAAGCTAAACTCGTTGGAGTCACGCAGGTGGCGCTGATAACCATCAAACAGCGATTTATCGGTGAAAGATATGGCGCGTCACGCATGAAGCAAACATCCTCTGCAGATCAGTTGACCTGATTCTACACGGACTCCACGTGACCAAGACAAACCAGGTGTCCCGCTACTCTGCACCAACCAGAAAACGAAACGTGAAAACGTTGGTGCGTGACTCCACTATGACCCAAGAGCGCGAAGCGAACAATCATGACGTACGAGGATAGCTGAATGCAAAAGCGCAAAACACTTCGGGTCGTAAACTTACTTGTCGATGCAGATCTTCTCTACTTGTGGCACGAGAACCTGAAGCAAACGCATGATGGTTTGGAAGGGCATCTTCGCTTTCCAACTGGCAGCCCAGTCAGAGGTTGGAATCCAACCGGCGCCGTGACCAACCACTTCATGCTTGGAACCGTTCTCATGCGAACGCCCAGGGGTTTGATTGATACCACTGGACTTGCTCGAGTGATGATTTACTGACTGAGTAGAGTTAAGCGAAGTGTATGAATTCGGAGGGTCTGTGACGCGCTCAGTGGCCAGTGAATTGGGGTTTTCACCAAGTAACTGAGAAGTGTAATGAGTGTAATAAGAGTAAGTTATTCGGGACCGGATACATACCAAAGAACAGGGATCACAAGGGGGAAAGAACTGTATTTGAGTTTTCTTGATGGATGGCAGATTCTCGGTAGGATCGCACACAAGCCATGGTCGACGGGAATAGCTGTTGTGATTAGAGAGAATATTGGTAGCTCAGACGCTGAGTGAACGAACCAACGACCGGGGCTGTTGTGGATTCCACGGTAGGGACCTCTCTAGTGGATAATTATTTTTTGGCTCGTAGCACAGGGTGGCTCGGGAGCATGTGTACAGGAAGTCTACACTAAGTAATGTGCCACACTGAGTGCCATATTTTAGAAAGTTACGAAAGAGAGTGACCACTAAGTCCTAAGTTCTAGAGAGTTGCTTGGCAGTGGAGCAATTCTTAGGAGGAACTTTGTCTTCCGTTAAAAAAGACTGGCCCTACTCATGAGAGATATCAACCACAAGATGCACAGAGGTCAGACATACGGTCACATCAAACATTTCGTTGCCGTTGGTTAGGCCACCTGAGGCACTAACAGAAACAAAGTTGGAATGATTTTTAAATGTTAGGGACAAAACACAAAAATGGCCACAAACTCACTGAGCTGTGAGCGATTCCCGGATGATTTAGAGGGACCGAATGCAGTCCATCACCGGATTCATGAGGATACAAATTTAGTTTTGGGGGTGAAGAGTTGTCAGAGAGCGAACGGAACCTTCGTGATGGGGAGAGGTGGGAAATCAGCGCGTCTTCTAATGGATGAGTGGCTTCATCAGATGGATGGAAGTCTCCGCTCACACTACCGGCAGCGTTAGCCAAACGCCTATCCGTCATGCTGCGTATCGCAGGTGTTTCGGCCAGAGCTGGCTGCAATGCACTTGCGTAGTTGGTAGTTGGCGCACCTGCATTAGATTCGACCTTAACAGAGAGGTAGATATGAAGAGCGTTGGAATCCGGAAGGGCAAACTTGAAGGTAGCGGTAGAGGGGTGAATATGAATTCGGTTGGAATGGGATGCATGCTGATCATTAGATACAGGTCCGAAATTATTCGAAAACTCGGGAGCGCCGGGAAAGTAGCACAGAAATGGAGCAGTTCCTGGTGCTTTCGCGAACGCCAAGGCCTTAACTTAGCAAACTTTAGTTACTGGTGGTTTCGGGATGTATAGAATGCATACTCAAATGAGTCCAGTTCGAACAATCGTCCTCCTGCTCGGGTGCAATCATTCTGGTGAGTCCACACCAAACAAAAAGCGCTGGACTCGAGCTTCGCTCTTATTAGAGCTTATAAGCAGTGCGCCGTTCACCTTTAGCACCCTTCTGGTGCCTACCTGCCATGCCACTCACAGGAAGCACGAGGGCTGGGATACTGCCAGGTTGCCCAAGCCTAGACAGAGGAAGTCGAGAGGCAGAGGTCGGGTTCGAACCATAGACCTTCCGGCCAGTAAATTCGCGCTCTAACCACTTGGGCCATCTCGCCGGGGTTTGTAATCCGCTTATGTGACACTACTTCAACAGCGCATGCTGGACTCATCTGAATTTCCACAGGTGAATATGTTCGCGCTTGAGTGATGTGGGTGGAAAGCCCGACGCCTTGAAAGACGGCTAGTAACATACCTTGGTTGCATCAATTGGACCGCCTGTCAGACACATATTCCAGTTCGGAATATGCCCATCTGTGATAGTCGTACAGCGAGCCACTGATTTTGACGATTGCGCCTATGTATGTAGCGTCGATGGTATTTCTGAAATGGCCCGAGCGACTTTGCTGAAAGCAATTAAAACTTCATCCTTCAACCGTAAAATCTCCTTTGTTCACCGTAAGAAGCTTACATTTTTTCCGAGAATCTAACAGGAACCTTGTAAAGTACCTTGATACATTCGCACCGTGCTTTCGGCTTGGATATTATTTTGCTGAGCATCGCAAGTCTTTATGGCGTATGGCTAGCGTGACCATTAGGGTTTGCGATTCACCAAGGTATGAATATCGTGCTGCAATTTTATGGATTAAGAACAATCTGGAGGATCCAAAGTTGTTGTAGAAATTAGATGAAGTGCGTTCCAAACATACCTACGGGCGTTATTGGAGTCCTCCTTATTGGGGCAGCTTCGGAGACACCCACCGAAATCAGAATACCATATGGATTAATATGAACTACTAACAGCGTTTTAGTAGCTAAAATATTTAAAGGTTTGAGCACCACATGGCTGACGTAGTTTATCCCCCACATAGTCCCATTTACGTACGAATTTGGCTCTTAGGGGTGACTTAAATGAATCACACTAAATCTCTCGTGCACGTCGACCTTTTCTTAGACTTCGTATATCACCAGAAATCTGCAACGAGGTAGGTTACCTCAACAGCAGAGGTCAATAGCTTTCAAACAGTATTGTCCCAATATTGCACCGTCTATTGGAGTTCCGAAAATCTATCGCTCATCGCCGTTTGACACTTGTGCTCGAAATTGGGGTATTCGTTGACCGAACGTCAACACAAAGGCGCCCGTAATATGTGCATCTACACAACAACCAACCTTCACTTCAGAACTGAAAAGTTAGCAATACAACTTGGAAATTACACAACATGATGCCACGCATGCGCAACACAAAATGACCCGTCTTCAGTTGAATAGAAAAGTAGATTTATGGTACTATTACCTGCTGACAAACGCCATGGCACAGCGAGTTGGCTGATATTGGCGAATTAGGAGTACAATTTGAGAATTTCAGAATTGAGACAGCACGTTGGGCTGTATATATCGGCTCGTTATGGGAAGTAGCCGTGTACCCCTGCTTCGGAACATAAAAAAACGAGTGTAGAAAACCTGTTCATCACAGGTGCAAACTGGCTTCCTGTGTAACTCGTTTGTCATCTAAATGGTAACGCCAACAAATACCGCTGCTAATCGAGGTAAATAAGGCTTGAGAATGCCTGCGATTTACTTGCAACAGGCGCATTTTTCTTTCATCACAGCGCACAGAGGACCCTCTCAAGATTGAGTGCGGCGACTATAAAAAAATAAATAAACCGTTCAGCTGCAGCGCCCTTTCGGTGCCTAGCTGACATACCACTCGAAGGAAGCACGAGGGTTGGGATACTGTCAGGTTGCCCAAGCCTAGACAGGGGAAGTTGAGGGGCAGAGGTCGGGTTCGAACCACGGACCTTCCGGTCAGTAAATTCACGCCCTAACCACTTGAGCCATCTCGCGGCGACTGTGTCCGAGAAACTAGCCCCTGACTAAAAAACAACTGTTAAGTGTGTTCGATGCTGACGGCGACCACTGGTACATCAGAGATTCAAGACATCACTCGAGGATTGTAATGATCCGTACACCCACTACAACCGAATAGCTTTGGTAAACATAGCTCCCGCGGTGGTGACCCTCGAAGTGAAATGTGATAAAATGGTTAAAAAACTTTTTATGCCTTCGTTGAGGAAAAACATAAGATGGGACCAAGAGTCAGCTTAATGATGTGCCGGTCGAGATTCCAATACGGATTGCAGAGAACGGAAGCTTATGGCGCCACACACTAGGGCAAACCGAAGAAAACAGTTTGAAACCGATTGTGAATCAAGAGGTTTGGGAAAAAATCGGTGGATTTATTGCTGAACAAACTTTCGCTTTCGTTCCCAAAGGCTCGCCAAAACAACGCAGCAACTCAAACGGTTGGCCGAGTTTTAAAGTAAACGCAGAAGCGCAGATTCAAAAAGTTCTGTAGTCTACCTGACACCTACCGATTCCTGGACGGTTATATATTCTGGTTTAGTAACGCAGTCACCAGTGACACGCTGGCATGAGTGGTGGGCGAAATCGCTCAAGTGGTGAGAGCGCGAGTTTACTGACCACAAGGTCCGTGGTTCGAACCTGATCTCTGCCTCTCGACTTCCCCTATCTAGGCTTGGGCAACCTGGCAGCATCCCAGCCCCCGTGCAACCTTCGGGTAGCATGCAAGCTAGGCACCGGAAAGGCGTCAGAGCTGAATGATTATCTTTTTTTATCTGTCCCACTAACGTACCCAAATAATTTGTGTTCTGGATATACCATCGAGAAACCGCGTCTTATTACGACCTTTTTGTGAAAAGGAGCGTATCTGTATCTGTTCTCACCTCGCGACTGATGTGAGGTTATCGGACCACATAGAACCTAGGCTATGACTGCTGCTCTGTCAATTAACGACATTATCGATCAATAGAGATATGGATTCGAAAAACCAGCCAATCAACTGAGCTTTTCTGTGAACGCGAAATCAGGTTTCGATTATCCGATTGTCAACACTACGTTTAGGTCAATAATACCAAGGAAGATTGACCGACCTGAAGTGTCACCGAGCCGAGCACACAACGATCCAATAAGAAGACAGCGCGTCTGAACATCCAACGAAGTATGCAAAGAGCAGCGCAGAATGCTGTTTGTTGTATAACAAAAGCCCATGTTTTTGCATTAGTAAACTGGAAGTTTCGCGGAACTGAGAGAGTCTTTTTTGTCCAATTCTGACATCTTGCTGCTCCCAGTCGGGGGACTGCAGTGTGACCCTGGCGTGGATTATCACCTATTCTGTCTGAAACTACGACTGTGCTGTTGAAAAAGGTTTCAAAAAAGCAGTGCAGTGGTAAATCACCAAACTTTGTGAAGTTCTAATACACTATGAACATCATTAAGTAAAACCCGAGGAAAACATACTTCTGGAGTATCAATGGCGCTACTGTTGACATCTCTATTACCAGCTGGGGCCACAGCACTTGTAGGAGAAATGACATCAGCTTGAGTCTTCTTTCGAGCTCCTTCTTTGATCATTTGTGTATCGTGATTACCTTGAATGGAATGGGACTTTGGTTTGGCGGATAGGGTTGGAGATGACTCCGGAGAGGAGTGATCCGAATTGGAAAGCGTGGTGGGTCGGCGTTTGACGATCTTCTGAATAGTGCTCTGGTCAGTGGGCAGGTTGGCCAAATGATAAAAAACTTGTCGTTTCCGTATCAATGTATAAACTAGATTGCTGTTTCCTAATGGATACGGAGGAAGTAATCAACATGCACAGTTTAGCCAATGTATGAATCAAAAAAAGTGGAAGAGTGATCATCTAAACATTACGGTAAACGTGTCATCATTTAGGTTTGTTAGAATTAGAGCGAAAAAACTCACCGTCAAACTGATACTGGATGATATTGTTGAATACCTCCAAGAGAAGGAAGACGAGTTGGTAATGTGTTTGACCGCTGTACAGAAACCAGGGTTGACTGAAGGCCTCCAGAAGGTGGAGTAACTTGTTGGAAGTTACCATAGACATACTTTTCAAATACGGAGATACTACAAAATAGATAAAGAATGAAACAACATCCACAATCTATGCACATGAAGTCTATAAAAGACCATACAAACATGGCAGCTGGAAAGTTCAAGGTAGGAAAAATTGCGATTGGTGTGAAGACTACTAAGAAGTAGCCTCTCCGCGGACCCTCTTAAGCATTTGATTGTTGTAAACATGTCATTGCAAAACATCACCCAGCAAAATCGAACTGATTCCTACTCTCAAAATTCGCATTTTCTGCGTCCCCCCCGACACACTGGTGACGAGATCCCGTGGGTACCTAGATGGAGTGAGTCAATCTCTTCGATACTTCTTATTATGAACCAATATTACTAGTATTAATTTGTACGTTCGGGTTTATCTAATTAGTGTTCTGAATGAGACAACGATTGAGAAAGGTCGGTCCTAGTAGGCGAACGACATGCCAGACTAGCAGAGAAAGACACCATGTGAAGGAACCGCTGTCGATGAGCGTAGGGGAGATGAGGTATATATTCATAGCAAAGTTCCAATAGGTCACAAGAAAATACCACAGTGTGACATCCTTCACGCTGCTTCATCTTTTTGTTGGGGCGATTCGCGACAAAGTAATACACATCACAGTGCACTGCTACTCAATTATTCAGTTTTGGAAGATACGGACGCAGGAGACAGAAAATGACATTTATGTCCACATTATTACCACTCCGATATGTTTGACTGGACTTATTCAAGTTTGAGAACTTGCGAAACAAGAATCGTGGGGGGGGGGGTGTATTATCTAGAACCCTGTCGCGCTTGTAAGTCGCTTATCCATTTTAACATTTTCTGGTTTTATAAATCAACAAACATGCTTATTTGAAATGGACGTGATGTTCCAAATGATCGATAACAAATATACGAAAAATTCGACCTAACTGCAAAGCGGTGGTTTCTTCCTCCTTGTTATGACTTGCAATGAAAATAACCTGGAAACTGCCAAGCTGATGCATCTAATCGGTCAATTTAGCTTCCATTCACTTCACCTACTGCTGGGGATTAATATAAAGCGTCAGGATTGAACGGCTACAGGACTCTTCTACATGACATTGTATTTTATTGGTATATATACTATACACGCGAGTTACCGTACTTTGGACCTTCTTTCTTGTGATACTCTATAGGTTTTCACATAATGTTTTAGTAAGAACCCACCACAAGCCCATGTTCCACTTACTTACCGTTCACAATAATGGTTAACAGGCAGTCGAAAAGCGGTTGGAGGCGTCGATGTCCGGTCGTAATTAACTTGTGAAACACCTGAATTTTGAGAAGTGGGGTGAGCAGAGTTATGTATGAGCGTTCAATGTGTTATCCACTCCAAACGATTGTATTGAATGAGAACTAGTCACACAGGTGAGAAAGTATCTCTTTGCTACGGATTCTCGGGCAGCAAATTGTTTATTGATTCAACAAGCAAACAGTTGGGTTGCAGGAATACCAAGGTATTATGGAAAATTATGCAAAAACAGAAATGTTACAAAAGAGATATCCACTTGAGTGTTTTCGTAACAATGATTCGCACAGGTTTACCTCGATGTATGTCCAAGTTGGTGTTCAACTATAAAAGACAACTACTGGGTATTCGCAAACAAGGCAATAGAAATTTCATAGGTGATGTCATTGCAAGAAAGATATCACGTGATTAGAAATTGATATCTAATGGGCACAAGTAATTCGATTAACACAACAGCTGCGGCGAGGTGCACGCCCCCCACAAACCCGAGCACTTTGCCCAATTGTTGGAACACCAAATCGGGGTATCCAGTGGATCAAAACAAGGACCGACGCGCGTTTGGTGCAAAATAAACGTGCGATCTCCTCCTTAGTTTTTTGTGTACGGTTACGTAATCTTGTGGTCGAGTCGGCTGGTGGCGGATTCGGCTCACTCACTGAAGCTAACATGGCTGGTAGGCAGGCTGGACTCGGGTAACCATGCCCGGTCGGTCGACGGGTGAGACAGCCTCGTGCGGCCGAGCTGTTGCGGGTCTTATCGGTTCCCACAGCAATGGAAGAGGGCGGCATTTCGACTTTCCGTGCTGAATCGGTTCAGTGGGCCATTATGCAGCACATGGGATAACGTCCAGTAATTTCTGCTCGGCAACCCAGAGACTGCTGCGCAGTGATTCAACGCCTGGAACGCTTGCTTAAACGTCAGTAACCCCCAGGTATCTGTACCGCGCTCAAGGTTGAATTACCGATTTTTAAGCGTCAGTAACCCCCAAGTGTCTGTACCGCGCTCAAGATTGAATTACCGACTTCTCTACGTCGTGTCCACATTCGTGGTGGAGCAGGACAATACCCACGGGTTCCATGATAACCCACCGAAATGATTCAGCACGAAAAGTCGAGGTCATCTGAGGTGCCTACCACCTTGAATCGCTGTGGGAACGGACAAGGCCCGCAACTATCTGGCCACGTGATGCGCTGTCCCACCTATGGAGAGATTTCATACTGCAAGCGGAACAAGTCTATGATGAAAAACCTCGGAACATTGTACGACGGCTCCATCCTTATTTGGAATCACTAACAGGGGCACATCATAAATCTCTAGGGCGGTTCGAACCCGCCCTTTTCCAACTGACAGCCACATTCATGTCCTTCCACGTTCAGCCAGTCATTTAGGTTGGTGGGACGTTACTTTGAATCGACAGACCATTATCACTTTCTAGCTCAATACAATTCTTCCAGTTCAGCATCCAAAACAGACATAGATAGATGCCAAACATACCTGCAGAGGATACGGAATACCCGTATCTTTTCGGTTCCAAGTTGCCATGTAATCCGTAATCAGGTGGAACCGAGCATCCTTAAAAACTAACCTCTGCACAGCCTTCAGCGCGATTAAGGTCCGGTAGAGAAGTCAACGCCCGACGTGCTCAGACAGAGCGGCTCAGGCGCGTGTACACAAATCGCAGGCATGGGATAATAAGTCTGGGTGTTTGCCGTTATGACTTACCTTCAGTCTTTGTTTAGGCACTCTTATGATTTCTACCACGCAACGGTATGAATAATGAATAACAATAGGTTGAACAAAGTGAGCAAACGGTTCGCTGCATAGGTAGCCACAGAGGTTTTCGGCACCAGTATTGCTAACTAGCCCGTTGTGGCTCATACGAATTCAGATCCCACAACACGATAAAGTTTGGGGTCAGAACATCTTCATAATGGTATGTACACCATTTTGGACGAAAAATGGCAGTAATCCAGCAGTAATGGCAGTAACCAGCTAGGACCACTTAGTAATGGCAATAAGTAATCGTTCAGCTGTAACACCCTTATACACCATTCTGGACGAAAAATGGCAGTAGTCCTCGATTCAACCAGCTAGGACCACTTAGTAATGGCAATAAGTAATCGTTCAGCTGTAACACCCTTCCAGTGCCTAGCTGCCATGCCACCCGAGGAAGTACTAGGACTGGGTTACTCCCAGGCTGCCCAAGCCTAGACCGGTGAAGTTGAGGGGGCAAAGGTCCGGTTCGTACCATGGACCTTCTGGTCAGCAAATTCGCGCTCTAACCATTTGAGCCATCTGGCTCTCAACGGACCGATCGGGAATCGAACTCAGAGCTACTCGGATGGCGGGCAAGCGTGTTGCCCACTACACCAACTCGGCACCAAGAACCACTAAGGTACGAAGCCAGTAAAGGTATGCAATGAGAGGATCTAAGGACGCTGCAGTTCAATTCTATTTCAAGTTGATGGAATCGACACGCCCAAAGGCGAGGCATCTATTCAGTATAGTGGAATAATATGCACAAACTCACAATTATCAACACATCCGCATGCGTGCCCGTAAACACCGGTATATCCAAGGCAGCGCGATTTTTATAAGGTTTATTGAGTCGCACACCAAAGTTGCGTTCCCCACTGAGCAACAAGAGGATGAATACACCAACGTGTACAAGGCCGAGACGGGCTGCAATAAAAATTAAAAAATGACTCCAATAAAAACTAGTTGAGGAACAAAATGAACAGGGTTAATCAGCAGTACAAGATAATTTAACATGTAAATAGGCCGGAAAATCTTGGTAAAAAAACGTCCTGTCGAAGTGCAAACTATCAAAGACTGGTTGCCAAAAATGTTCAGGTGGTCTGTGAAACAGATTCCTGGAACCCTATCCAGTATGTGTTTTATGAGGAGAATAAGCAGAGGTGGTAGAAAGCAGGCAATGCCGCAGATCTAACGGTGATGCTACTGATTGGGGGCATGCAAGTAGTATGTTTTCACATAAATCCGCTGTGCGTCTCTTGAAAAGTGATATTTATTACGGAGCTTGTGGAGTTGCATTTGCTTGGATTTGAGAAACAGTCAGTGAATATCCAGGAGAGTTCAGCAAGACGGATTCAAGGAGAAGATGGGTATTCAGTTTTTGTAAACGAGATGCATATGAGGGTTTTGCTTTTGTCCAATAGTCTGTAACTGTTCAGTTGGCATTCTCTAATAAAAAACTCCACAGCGAAAGCCTTCGTCCTTTAACAGGTAGTAGGAAAAGGATTATGCAGTCAAACCAACAAAATACCATTGTGATAAGTGCATCAGATCCAAAAAGAGCTATGGCATCTGCGAATTCGCCATCTATAAGGGAACGCCCCAGGGGCACTCCGATCCTACATGCATTAGAGGCTAGTAGTGAATCTTTCATAATCGCATCAATGACAAATTTGGAGACGGAAGGAACCCGACCCCACTAGATGTGGTGAACTCAAGCGAGAGCTTACCGTAGACCTTCACACAGCTGTGAGAATTGGCATCTTAAGGAGGGTTAAGAGTTTATGGGGTACACAGACACTACCACAGTGTCTGACGGTTCACAGAGCCAAAGGAGGCTTTCAAGTCAAGGTAAACAACAATTGTTGATTACTGTACCAGAATCAGTCGGAGAGTGGAAACATTATCGATGCAGCCGCTTGCCGGAGGGAATCCAGCTCGGTTTCCACAGGTCTGTCTCTACCTGTGTTCACACTGTACCAGAATCAGTCGGAGAGTGAAAACATTATCGATGCGGCCGCTTGCCGGACGGAATCCAGCTTGATTTCCACAGGTCTGTCTCTACCTGTGTTCAGTCAACTTACGGAGGATAAAACCAGAGGGCACTTAATAAGCGACAGCTAACAGAAGTTTTCAAACGACCTTCGCGTGCTTTTTTGAAGACAGGAATAACTTCTTCTTGGTTGAATTCCGGGAGCGCGACACTGACCAGCCCTCGATGATATGATATGTAGCCACACGAGAGGCCGAAATGATGTCAATAAACTGGTCTGCACATTACACCTAATGAGACCACTTGATGACATTTTCGTGTGAAAGGCAGAGGCCAGCACACTATCTAGAAAGAATTCTCAACGTCAGCTGGTATCCCAATGCTTTCATAACACAGACAAATGACCGGTACATTAGGAGGTAAGCAGAGGATTGTCGCTTCCAATGCAAAAAAAAATAATTCAAATGTCGCTCTGGCAGCTCCTACCAAAGGGCTTTTCAACAATAGTACGGTCACGGTAGAGATATGACGGAGGCACTAACTAGATGTAACTCCTGTTCAACAGATTGTCTAAAAATCTGTCACCTCAATGAACTAGCTACCAGGTAAATCCAAGCACATTATGCTTGAAAAATGAGACCATTTATATTAATGTACTGAACGTCCAAGCTTGAACTCGATGCAGAGCCGCTGAGAAGTAATAATATGAGAGTTACACAGGAAAGTACGAAATTCCTGGTAGTGCTAGAATCCAACAGCCTTTCGACTAATGTAGTGGATAATTCCACTTAAAACCCCCAAAACTGAATCAACCGGAAGGCGTAGCGTGCAAAGCATGTCATATCGTAATGCTAGAGGAGCACCGATCTGACTGAGAAACGCCGTGCGGTGGAACGGATATCAGCAAAAAATGAAGTTTAGATATTAAGTGGCTTTTCTTGCTATGCTTTTATTTGGAACCCACCAAGATTTGAGGATAACTGGAGGCTGGGCACCATAGGTCTGAGGGCTACTGTAGAAACACCGAGGTGACTCAACATCGTTGTCCTGGCACTTCATTACTAGGCGCAATATCCAGGGCCATCACTTGAAATGACTCGGATATGCTCTTCGTAAGGTGGACAGTGAGCAAGTGTTGCCAAATCAACGGAAAATGTGCATCCAATTAGTCTGTGTGCTATGCCCGAAATTGGAAAAAAGAATGTCCCAATCTGTGCAGACATCGCCACATCCTGTCGAGCAGCTGCAATCCACAACAATCAAGTAACTCCATGCTACCGTAGAGGTCATCTGCGGAAACTTAGGGCAAGGGGTGGCTTCTGAGGATATCAACCCCGTTATTCATTCACCGTCACGCTCTATATTCGCCCAATCTAATGGTGAAACAATGCAGGCGACCAAACAAGCTAGGTGGTAAGCTTGTTGAAGTGTCGAAATAATTAGCACACCAGACAGTAAAACTGAGAATTCGGTTTTGCCAGTTGATAAACTGATCTACCACGTTTTACTAACGTCTGACAATCACGCATCACTGATATGGGAAAAGAGCCTTTTGATCCATAGTATCATCAAAACAGAAGAGATTAGATAAGAAAAAATACGAACCAGGATCGGACCGAGCGTCATTCAGGTGGTACAAAATTGGGACCAGGAGATCCAGCACTTGGCTTGATTTGAGGACGTAGTACATAAACTTCTTGTTGATTTCGCACATGCGCCAGAAGAGCACCAGGAGTTCTTGATGCATTTGAACTTTTTTTGTCGATCCAGGCAGATACGTTTGTTGGAGTGGATTGTTCAGTAGCCTGGTCAGGCCATTCAAGATGAATGCAAAGTCCTGTGAATCGACCACAAATGAGAAAACATCAAACTAAATCATACAAGGATTGTGCATGTCCTGAGTCCACACCGAAGAGGGTATCTTGTTAATGAATGCCACCGCAAGATAGCACTACCTATTCCAGAACGAACACGGACAAGCAAATAATGTACTACGAGATCGAATGAAAACGAAAAAAGCAGAATGTGCAATTGAGGTTTAATTCAGTGAAAACCCATCAGTAGCAGTCACTGATGGGATGGTCCGAAAAGGAGAGTAACGAGAAACACAGCACCAAGTGAGGACATGCAATTTTAAAACGAACATGTAATTGCGCCGTGTCAGATAGCCCGCAGTTGAGCTGCTTGCATTCTGGTTCTAAAGCGCTCTTTTACGAAACACTGCAATCACAGCTCCGGATACGCAAGAAAACACCGGTCGCGGGTACTAAGTTGTCTCCACGAAGGCGACTGTATCCTATCTCTCCCTCTCTTTATCTTGAGACGAACAACACGGAATACATGATCAAGAAAACCATATGTGTTAGGCTACCGATCAAACGTAATCGAACTATTTTAAACACGCTGTTCCAGTTACAACCTTGAACAGAGCACATAGGAATGAGAGGAACGACACATCGGGTGTACTTCGCTGTACCGCTCCGGACAGATGCTACAGAACAATCTCAGATTACTAAAACAAAACAAGAGTCTTTACCAAAGGGATGTCCAGACTAAATTAACCAGCCACACGTTGCCAACGATATGAATAACTCATTCTGTTCCCATCTTCTGATAGCAGTGGATTTGGCGAACAGCTGCACCGTTCGTATTCATTGTGGAACGCAGCTGCCGGCTAGACACTGAATTCCTAATTTGGATTATTATCTCAGTGTGGAAGGGAGGATTGGTGCCCAAGCTGTGATGTATCCCGTCGGTCTGAGACGAATATTTCACTCAGTCTCGCCGAAGTGGATGGCCCAGCAGCCACACGTAAAACGTGATTGGAAAGGCCGTACTGGGGTAGTGGGACTCTGGAACTCGGTTCGGCTACATCTTTAGATGACCATACGTTTGTCAGCGTAGCAAGTTCGTTTAACAACGATGGTAAACGCAACAGCCCACTAATATTAACTCTCCTGAAGTTCAATTTCACAAAAGCCCCTACAGTCGCACGACTCAAGAGTTGTTCGCCTGTTACATAGAAGAAGAAGAAGAGGCAAGAAGCATTTGCTTCTTGCTTTCAGACTGCCGGGTGTTTTGCCGCAAAAGCTCGATAGGGAGATTTGCCAACACCCAAAGACAACCGGATGTGGCACCTAACAGAATTCACCTGAATGCACATAACCCCTCTCTGCACAGTTATCGACGCTACCTATAGGGGCTATAGATTATGTGGCCCTTGCGTTGACTTCGACTCACGTTATCGCACAGATCGGGCGAGTGCTATCCGACCGAGAATTATCACGGCAAAATTGTGGTGCCTTGACAGACGAATAGAATAGTGTTTTGTGAGCTCACCACCATAAACAGTCACACCATTGCTGGAATCGATGCTCCACTGCTGTACAACCATAAAGTAAAAAAGATTAGTGGAAGGGGCCTGGTGCTAGCTAATCATAAACGTTCTGAAGCACCAGCACCTCCAGAAGGTAGAGCAGTCAATCTGAACAGAAAAGGACATCGGTTAGCCACCGTATCTTGAAGCGAATCCGGTCAAGTTCAGAGATAATCAAGAGAACCGTGTGCCTGTCTACAAAGATCACACAATTTACTCTAATTCTGCACTCAAGATACAGTGGCATTAGCAACAGTAAGATAATAGCGATGAAAATGAGAGATGAGCCTCCAGTCTAAAGGATGGAAGAGTTGGTGGGATAGATAACGGCCTCCGGGAGACCGGAAGATTATCGGTTTAGCTGTCTTGCGAGTCAGGTAATTTAAGAGCCTCAGACTGTTTCACCATAGCTCCCCCAAGCCGGTCTTCAGTTTCGAACGGGCCACAGGTAGTATGTAAACACAAGGGGCACGCTTTTAGCTAACGTGCCATGAAGCTCGGGAAATCGCACTGACATCCACCACAAATTATCACTACCGACGATGAAAGAGGAATGAGCGGCTTGTCACTGTCAGGAGGGCTTTGCTACACAGGCTATGATAGTACGCGGAAGCAACAAAAAAACAGCGCACGTTAAGCGTTATGAGTAACAGTGCGCTCTGCGTGAATTCGATAGCAGTCCTACAAACGCCGAACTATTCTAGGCACGTTGTAACATGAAAGAATACGCGATTGATTTTTTGCAAACCATGTACCGTTTTTGTATAAAAATTTGTTACAAAACGAGAATAGAAAACATGTAACTCCGAAACGTTTGCTGATCATTCTGTTCCATCGTGAGCGTTAGATGGGAACAAGAGTAAGCCGTAACATTTGGTTTGTTCAATCCATATGATTGGAGCTGAAGATAAAAACTTATGGCAACGTGTCTTCTATCTCTTAATGAGACAAAACAGTTGTTTCTTTAGGAGCAACAATGAAAGATTACCAAAGTCTCGTTCCTCAAAACGGTATAAAATACGGAATAAGGACGAACCAAAAGTTCCGAAGGTACGTGAGCTGAGCAGCCGAATCCGACAAACCAGCGTCTCTGACTCCGGAACTCCAAAACAGCCCCTCAGTAGAAGGGCCTTAAAACCGTATCCGTTCGACAGTACAAGACAGTCAAAGCCTAGGGTTATGTGTGACATTTCGGCCCCAAGTTCATTCTCGTTATTTAATGTTATTTGCTCGTGACCACTGAACCATGACATGGACACACGCGACACTTTGTTGGGGAAACATCGAATAAAATATCGTATGAACTGACCAATATACAGACTTACCTCATCACGGTGAATTCTGGACATGTAATTCGCGAACAGGTTCATTTCGGTTATCCCATCTCCGGCAGATGTTGCCGTGGTGCTGCTAGCCTCGTCCGCCTCGGAAGACATACGGCCCACCAGGTTTCTGTAGCCGTGGCTTGGGTGAGTGGGATAGCTGCCTGTGAGTTCGGTTTCCAGAACAATGCACAGGACCTTTCAGAGAAGAGTTTGGTGAGAAAAATCACTGAATCCAAAAAAACATCACTGCCATCGTGGGCTACAAAGTCAGTATTAACAATAATACTCCATTGCCGTACAACAACAAAGTGTCATTCCCGAAAGCCCTAAAGTGGGAGGCAAAAAAACTGGACCAGAAAGGGATCTGATGTGAATCTACTATACTGATTTGAGATGTCAACACCTGCGCAAACAACCTGGATTTGTCCAGACAGCACCAACGAAATTGAATCCATTGAATGAACCACGCTACAAGCGATCGACACAACTCACCTGCAATGCAACTTCCACTAACGGTTCACGGGAGTCGGAGAACATCAGGTGATTGTATGGAACGCCGAATCCAACAGGGTCATAAGCGCAAACCACATTTAGCAGAGACGCGAACAGAGGAAGAGCGTGGCGGTTGTTTGTGCTTGTGAAAAACGAGACCCATTTATTTTGTGTCTGTTGGGCTTCTTCGCTTCGCGTTCTCATTGTTTCGGAGAAGCAGGTGAGGAGGAGCTTCAAGATTTCCGTCCGATTTGAGTCGTGGGCGGCATTATGAACTGGGTTTTGTGCGAAGCCTACACCCGCTTGCCAAATGTACTCGCAACTGTCGATTGTATGCATATCTTCGGGTCCCTCCTGAAAGCGTGCACACATAGGTGGACAGAATGGAGAAGGACGTGTTATAATGGACCAGTGTGAGGAGCGATTCCACGACTGTCCCTGGAGATGATGTTTCAAAGACAAATGCCATTTCAAAACCAAAATACTTCCTCAAATACTTCCAAATACTACCTCATGTACTCCCAGGAGATGAAAACCAGGGTGGTAGGTCTTGGAGGACAATAGGTATATGAACCCCAGTGTGAAAATCCTAGTAAGCGGTGTGCCATGAGCGGTTATAATTTCACAACCTATGAGCAGACTAGTCACCTTTAACGGACAACGCTATGCCAGCCAGCTGATAGGGCGATAGCCAAGACGACAAGCAGCCGAGCATAATGTTGTATAACACAATTGCCATATAGCCTATGAGTGAGCAGTTTGGTAAGCTACTTGGTTTTTTCAGTAGTTGTTGTGGCGCAACTGACTCGATCCATCCATCTGGATAGATCCTCGGCAAACACCAAGTGAAGTTCATTCTTCTCATTTCAATGATACAAGCTCTGGGGCTGGAAGGCTTTGTTGCTCAAGGGGACACTGTGCATCATTGATCTACACTAAATAGGAAAGTGGAGGGCGTTGAACCATCACTCCTATTAGAAATTTCTTCCACGTGTTATCAACATACAAGAATGACTGCAGGGCAGCACATGGTCCCATCCTCATAATAAGCCACCGGTAAGCAGCACTTTTAAAGCTGCGATATCCCAGAAAGAAAAGCCTTCTTCAATTGCATTAGATGAGCGAACGAAACTGTTTTCTTCGGCTTAATAGTGTAATTTTGTTGACGAAAATTTCCCTACCAATCAGCGAGGCCACAACAGCCAAAGATAACTCCGTATGTCTCCATCAGCTTTCCCACAGCATGGGTGGCGAGTATTGTCATCAGAGAGATCCCTATCAAGTTAAGGAATTTCAGATAATTAGTTCGTCTTGGTCTACGCCCCATTGTCTCGCGGATGGAGAAACGAAAAAGATAGGGCCCTGATATTTCTTAGTGACTTAATAAAATCAAGCTCAGGCAGAAAAGCTTGATGGTTTTAAGATCTAAGAGGAATTCCGCTCGTAAAAGGACCGTCCTGGACACAAAGCGAGATATCCCTGTTGAACAGCATAAATGGGTAGAGGAATACACTGAGTAAAGAAAATACATTATTAAGGTACTACAACATTAAGCAAATAACCCTAGAAGACAATCAAAGGCTGCCCAGTCTTGTTTTTTTCTGAAGTACTGAAACTCAAATTGTTGGGGTTGTAATTCCATAACAGATCCAGTCGTTTTATGATGAGCTTCACTGCGAGGGGTCAGGTGCAGAACATCTCGACGTGCCGAACTGAGGTTTTAATTTATTCATATGGCTGACGAGCCGTCCTAGGTGTAATAACTGTCATCCGGGGGGCTTCTAGCACGATTTCTATTCAAGGATTGTGAGATGTACATCCACGATTCCCAATAGAGATAAAACAACCGCATATTCGTCCTCGAATCTCCAGCATACGTTATCCTTGAACTGTGCGACGAAAGTGAATGAAACTACACTTGTATAGCCGTTAATAAACAGAATCTGCCTTGAAGTAACAAGGAGGGTGCGGCATGGCCCATCCACGTAACAGATGAGGGATAAGGGTATAGAAACCATGGAGAATACCACGCAACTAGCGGACTTACGGGACCCGATTTCGTGATTGAGTGGACGGTGAAATCCGGACAAAATAGCAAATCCTATCAAAGGACATTAAAGGGCGAAAAAGTCAAGCGACTTACACAGAGGGCCGAGATCAGACTATGCGCTAGTGGCACACACTCATCCTATAAAGGGTAATGATTAAAAGTTGAAAAAATGCCTTACATCAACGGCTGAATCTGGTTCCAGAGGAAGAGCAGACCAGAAAAACGAACGCCATTCGGGGTCTTCAAATATATAGGGGAATAGTCGAGTTAGTAGACGTATGCAGTTCAACGCTGAAAACATAAACCAGTAACGTGCGAAAATGTACCTGTTTGCTGATCTTTGGCAGTAGGGAACGAGGCTTCGGCAATTCTGGAAAGCTTTTCGACGGCCTTATAGCTCAGAGTAGCCAGGTTGTTTGGGGATTCTTCTCTCAAAGCCCGTATTTCGGCAGCGGGAATAAGAACAAACATATCTTGGACACTGATAGATATATCTGTCCAAAACCTCTCCCAAAAGGCATTATCGTTAGAATCGATAGGCTGAAGCGATGCTGAAGAAGCGCTACACAAACGTACCTGGGTCTTTGTAGTCAACTGGATCACCACATTCCGATAGGTTAGCTTCGAATTGTCGCCGCCCATTAATGCGCAGAAAACCATACAACACTATGCAGGAGCTATCTGAAGAGTAGGAAGAAGCTCACATCATGACTGCAAATAGAGGGGAAAGCTATATTTCTGCTCGAACCAGCAAGTACATCAGATACTCTACATTCGCAACTTTTCAGGTCTCGTCACAGACCATATTTGGCCTCTCCTGAAACGCACTGTAGGGCGGAGGTCAGATACTCACAAAACTTTGCAGCGGCATATATATGGTGTATATGGACGAACAGGAAGTAAAAGCGATGCAGTAAAGCGCCCATAGTTGCCACTGAAAAGTCCACAGTGGTGCGGGAAGACTCATGGGGAAAGCAGTGTACTGGGGAACTGGCTTGAATGTTATCAAAGCCAGTGCAGAATAGATTCATCACAACGTAGTTTACATAGCTCGTGTCATCACGTTTCATCATCCGTCGAGCCATACGTTCTGAAAGCGCGTGGTTTTTGTGCCCACGTTGATATCGGGTTTACTTACTCAGGTCAACCTTGACCGGTCGTTTGTTGATGGGGTAAGCATTCCTAAAGGTGAGTTGGCTGGTCTATCTCCTGAGGAGTGGTGTCTGGGTGATCTTGAGGCCTGACCTCAGCCTTTCATTAAGACTTTTCTTGTGATTTACAGGACGGTTGATGTGGTAAGTTAGTACTTGGTCGTTGTATGTCCTTTCAGTATACATACGTCTGAAGAGCTCCTATCTGTTCACGAACATATTCAAAAATTGCACTTCGTCATTCTGTGCAATTTCGACCGTAAAACTGATGTCTTCAGACATCGTTGGGCAATTCACATTTATGTTCAGCTGCATCCCTTATCATAATGACGGCGTCGTCCACACAGAGTTACATTTTGACCACGAGTAGCACAGTATATTCAAGTTTCTACATTACCACTAAGGTGATGAGTCCAGAAATGGGTGATTCCATTGGGGTAACCTTCACTCGTGTGTGCCAATGCAAGGGTTCAAAAGCTTGCAAATTCTTTCTGATTTGAACTGCTTTAAGGTAGTTCTGAAATAGGTCAATTGCCGTCTCTTTTTCAGGACCGTGATCAACTGGTTTGAATAAAGAGTTGACGTCATGAGACAATGAATTATTTCAAGAATTTACAGAGGAGATCCGAGTGGAAGGTCTGGTGCAAGATTACTGTAGCCATAAAATTGAACACATCACCAAGTGCTCCTGAAGATAGCTGGGTAGAAATTCGGTTCAGTCATATCTTAAACCTGAGTTTCTATTCAAACAACAAAGCTGTCTTGAACACTCAGAGTTTTCGCCATTGTCTCTGTACCCACGCGTCAAGTTACTTGTGCTATTCTAAAAGGTAAACACTTTCCAGTAGATAAAACGTGAGTATGTGTGGCATGTAAATGAGCCGCCACACACTGCTACCTCAGCTCAAGTACCTGCTGTTCATCGTCATCGATAATATAGCACTGATGCTTCGCTGTCGCACAACCATGGTTGATTAGAAACCCTTATTTTGGAAAAAAAGAATAGCAGTGGATGGGAAAGAGAATTGGTTTTATTTAGTGCTAGGTTATTATAATCATCCAGAGGAGCCTACGCCTCCAGACATTCATTCAGGCCAATCCGGATGAAACTAATGACGAGAACGCCATTAACATCGACTAGCAGCAATAAATCGTACGGTCGATGACCAAGCAGTGAGAATCACGCGGTGCCTATCCTGGAAAGCGAGTAGCACCGACAGCACCCAGAAGTTTCGTAAACTCTTTCATACGACTCTGCCATGTAAAGGGTTAACCAACTCTCTCCTTCCAGCACTGAGTTGGGAACGGAAAAAAGCACACTCTTTAGCGTACGCAATATATGGCCTAACATGCAGTTTTGGGTGCTGGGCACATTCTTCAATAGAGGACTCCGATGAACAACACAACAGCGCCATCGAAATACCTCAGTATGGACTTTCTGACTTTAACCCAGATGAGCTGTGGTCCTGGAACAACGACAGTCGAACGCCTGAAGACGTTTCAGTCCCGCTGCTTGAACTGGTCAAGTCTCACAGCCACACATACAACAAAACAGCCCCTACTGTAGCCTGACAGACACATCCCGTGAGATTCAGGGATACACTGCCTTGACGTCACAGGTGTCTCAAATTAGTAAACGCAACCCGAGCTTTGCAGATTTGTGCATTAACCCCATATGTCACACTACAACTTCCATGATAGGCAAAACGCCCCACAAATTCGTGTCTGTCCTTTGGCTGTAAGTAGTGTGTCCAGCGACTTCACGCCCAGTCGTACGACCTTACATTTGTGCAACCAAAGAACAGGATGACTTCGATCAGTTCATCCAAAAATACCTGCACCGTCTCCATTTCAAACAGGAGAATGTCGTCCGCATATTCCAGATCGATAATGCTTTCGTCAGCAGTTATTTGAGTGCCAGTATTCGTCTCATTATCATACAAACCTTCCTCAGATCCTCTACGAGACCATACTCAGTATTAGCAACGGTTATGAAGCATCGATTGTGGAAGATTTGGAGGCGGAGATTCCATGTTCAAGGATGCTATTTTACAATGCTGTCGATCAAAAACTTCACCGTATTCTTATACCTACCACGAGCAGCACAGATCACGCCACCTCTGCTACCTCACATAGCGCAGGTAAATGGGCGGCATTCTGATCTGTTTGCACGATTCACTTGTACAGTACCACTTGGGCCTGCGCAACTTCCCGGGGAGGTAAGATGATGTTTCAATTGCAAAAGCATCCCCAGTGACGGCATGTGAAGCATTGTATTTAGTGAAATGGGTGAAAAAACTTTTCGAAACTCCTAACCCTCACCTGGACAGCGAAAGTGGAAATATTCCACCCATAAATTCCGGGTCAACAAAATACTCGCCGGTAACGTTTTACGCTCAGGTTCCACATCAATGAGTCGACTAGGTGGCTTGGTCAAACACCGGATTAAAAAAAGCCAGTCCAAACGACGGGAAACATCACCAATGACAGATACAACAATGTTAAAAGCCGACGATTTAGTGCTTTACAGAAGCTTACGGATTGCACATACGCAAGTGTTAAAGTCCGACCATCACAATTTAATCAAGCGAAAGGTTGGTTTGCTCTTCTCAAGGCAGCGCTCCACGTGTCACCGCTGGATAAGGAAAAATGGACAGTCCCACCGTCACAACGGAATTGAGGCTGTAATTTATCAGAGTACCGCTAGTTGCCACGCCCCCCATTCCGAGTCATGATTCCATACGTGTTACCGAGACTGACAGGAGCTCGAATAACGATCCAGACCATTATCACTTTCAAATCTGATCTGACTTATTAATGGGTAGATTTCTGCCAGATATCAATTGTTCTTGGAGTTTTGGAAGATTAAAGGCAATTCGCACCACTGAATCTGCTGTCCGTCATTGTGTAGGCGACCTATATCCAATCCAAAACAACAACTCGATTGTGATTCACTAGTTCTAGGTCTATTATTCACTGGCTCATACCAAAGAGACGGTAGCGCTGATGGGACATTTGACTTATAGGCCCCGAAGGGACCGTTAAAACAGACGCTGGGCAACCATAATCTGAGAGACAGCTTTTACAGTACATTAAGGATGGGTTGCTTATTGCTTGCCATAGTGCTCGGCGCGTTGTGAAACGCGGTTTAAAAAAAAAGCATCCATGCATCTCGGTCAGCTCCCGGTCTGCACGACCTCGGGAAATCCCTATGTAGGCAAAAAGTGGTTGCTGAAGCCTTCCGTACCAACACATTTGGTCGTGTGAGAACTTACGACTGCTTTCACTCTTTCTATTTAGTTTTGTCAATGATACCGTCATATAGTGCACAATTCAAAGGATGGAGAACTACGGTACCGAAACCACATCTAGGGAAAGCCCCTAGACTCGGACTACCTACATAACATAATCCAATCTAACAATCATCAGCCTAGTTTAAACAAAATTTCCGTTAGTTCAGCATAAGGTCTGAACTGCTTCAAGTCCTTTGAAAAATTCAGATTAGAGGGTGGAGCTCGAGTTTGCTGAACGGCTTCTTTAACTAGACAAGCTCATAACCTATGAATGTACTGACAGAAGTCAGTGCATGTTTTGTCAGGACACGAACAACTCATGCCAACGTGTTCCAGGAACAAATTTCCCTGAGGGCTGTATGTAAGAGTACGCGATAAAGAATCGGAATCACTAGAGCAGCAAGGGACGACTGTTAGGTTAGGGTGATTGGAGAATATTCTGGACAGGTTTACTGGGGAGTCACCGGTTCCCATGGGCGAGATGGTGGTTAGAGCGCGAATTTACTGACCGGAAGGTTCATGGTTCGAATCCGACCTCCACCACTCGACTTCCCCTGTCTAGGCTTGGGCAACCTGGCAGTATCCCAGCCCTCGTGCTTCCTTCGGGTGGCATGTGTCATGATTTTTGTGTGCTTATTCTTATATTTACCATATATACTCGTACTGAACTTTTGTATGTACATTTCAGCTCATGTACGCTTGTTCTTAGACAAGTAAAACGTTGCTTATACTCGAAAACCTTGACTCTGTTCTAACTCGCTCTCGGACACATTCTAAATGTCT